CATGGCTGGCATGGTGGTTAAGAAATCAACTAGCTGAAACAAGACTACCTGAGTTTAAATACTGGCTAAGCACTTAGAGCGCTATGATCTTTCCTAAGTTGCTCATCCCTTCAGTATCAGTTGATCGAATTTGAATTCACTTATTCACTAAATTTTTACTGAATGCCTCTTACATAACCAAGCATATCTGTGACCACAACAGACACAATTTTCTCCTTTTAAGAGCTTCCATTTTAGAGCTGGGGGGTACATGCCTATAATCCCAGCACTGTAGTAAGTTAAGATAGGAGAAAAGAGCTTCCATTTAGGCAGAGTGGAGGGAGACAAATACCATCAGCCTTCAGTATCTGTGAGTTCTGCATCCATAGGTTTAAACAGCCTTAGATCGAAACTATTGGGAAAATTGCGTCTGTATAGACATTTTTTCTTGTCCTTCGTAAACAATAAAGCTTAACTATTTCTATAACATATCAGGTTAGGTATTAAAATTCATCGAGATGATTAAAGTATACAGAGGGATATAGTCTATGTGAATTTTTTGTTGTTGTTGTCGTTACTGGGGATCAAACTTGGGTCTTTGTGCTTGGGAAGCAGGCAGAACCACTGAGCTAAATCCCCGGCCCTAGTCTATGTGAATTTTGTGCTATCTCTAATAGGGGACTTGAGCCAGATGAACTTTGGTGTCCATAGTGAGGGGAAGGCTAGAACCAGTTCCCCTTGGGTAACGAGGGACAACTCTGGTATATTAGAAGGTAGTAATGGTTATGGAAGGAAAATCAAGCAGGTGAGAATGTGGGTAGGGTGACCAGATTTAGCACATAAATTCAGAAGACTCAGTTGAGTTTAAATTTTAGATAACGAATAATTGTTAGAACACGTCTCCAATATTGCGTGGGACCTATTTATACCCTAAAAATTTGTTTGCATATCACATTTATTAAGCCTTTCTATATATTTCTTCTTGACCCTCCAGATACGGGAAACAGGGTTGTGGTGGTATAGTTGGATAGGGGTTCACAGGCCTCACTTGAAGGGAGTGAAGGTTCCAGGCCTAGAGATAAATAAGGCAAAAGTACTCCGGGTGAGAAGGGGATGTGCCAGGAATGTTGGTGTACTGGCTAGAGCAGAGTAAGTAGGAGTGACCTCAGGTCATGGGGAAGGGAAAGTATGTGTCTTGTGGACTAAAGTATTTTGCCTTTTACCTTCAGTGAAAGGGGAATGTGCTTGGGGATTCTGAGCAGAAGAGGAGGAAGATGATACAGCACTTTTAAAAGGGCCACTCTGGCTACTGCATTAAGAACAGCTGAGAGGACAGCCATGGTCATGGGAGCAAGACTAGGAAGCTCATGCAGCCTTCTAGGTGGAAGACGCTGGGGATTGGGGCAGGGTGTAGTGGCAGAGGTGATGTGGAGTGAATGGGTTCTGGATAGATTTTAAAGCTAGGGCCAATAGGAATGTACCAATTCATTGGACATGGGGCCTGGAAAAGTCAAGATTGATTCTTCATTAATTTTTAAATTTTCTATTAGTACATATTTGCAGTACATCAGGATTGCATTTGTCGTGGAGAGTTGGTATAGGTCCACATCTTAATTCTTTTTATTTCCCCTTGCCCTCCCATTGACTCTTAAAGTTTTGGTGTCTAATGGGATGAGAGATTCTGAATTGTAAGAGATGTGTAGGAACAGAGTTTTGGGGAGGAGGAGAGGGTGGATGGTGAAGTAGGGCAAAACCATTGGCAGTTGGTCTGGGGTCTGTTTGAGATGTTCACACATGTGTTCTGGTTGTTTATTGTAACACTGTAAACTTAATGGCATAGAACAAGCATTGTATTCTGCTTAAGGATTCTGTGAATTAGAAATTCTGTGAATTTGGACAGTCTTCAAAAAATACAGTCTGTAAGAGCATCAAGAAGAAATGTCAGTTTAGCACTTTTATGCATGAATTTGGAGTTTAGGGGAGAGGTGTAGTTTATACATGTAAGTAACTATCATATGGATGCCATTTAAAGCCATGAGATTAGTTGAGGTCATGACAGGAATTAGTAGAGACTGAGAAAAGCTGTAAGAGCCAAACCTTGGAGTACCTGCAACAGTATGCAAAAATTAGAGAAGAGAGGTAAAACTAGTCAAAGAGCCAGAAGTAGCCAGTGAGACAGGGAGAAAGTGTCATGTCTGGAATCACAGTGAAGAAGGCATTTGAGAGATAAGCAGCTAATGGGTCAAATATGATTAGGATTGAGAATCGGCCATTGTATTCAGCAGTGAGGTCATTGATGACCTGAGCAGGTCCAGTGTGTTGGCATGCCAGTCACATTGGATTGCAAGGTTGAGCGGGTTTGATAAGAGTGGAGGAGGGGAGTGGGAAATAAGTAGTATGACCAGTGCATTCAAGGAATTTTGTTATAAAGGAGGAATAGAAAAGGTGTTAGCTGAAGGAGAAAGTAGGGATGAAATTTTTGTTTTGAAAGGTGGGAGAAATAACAGCATATTTTTATGATCCACTGGTGTGTTAGCTTTTCATCACTGTGACAAAATACCTGAGCTAAGCAATCTAAAGGAAGAAAGGTTTATTTTGGGTCATGGTTTCAGACGTTTCAACCTTGGCTGGCTGGCTCCGTCCATTCCTGTGTGCCTGAGGTGAGGGAGAACGTCATAGCAGAGGTCATGCTCACCTCATGGTAGTCAGGAAGCAAAGAGAGGAAGGACCCAGGGCAAAACATGCTTTTCAAAAGGCTATACCCCTGGTGATACATCTGTTCCAATTAGACCCCACCCCAAATTTCCCACCACCTCCCCCGTAGCACCCCCAGCTTGGGGTAGGCCTTCAGCACACAAGCCTTTGAAGGACCTCCAAACTGTAACAAGTGGGTGCGGAAATGGATGGGGATAGGAGTGTGGTGAATTGCTGGAACTGTGTCTGAGTTGGTGAAAGGGAGGGGCCAAGTACCCTAACATTTTTGTTTCGGGTTGACCATCAAGGGAACCGAGCACAGGAACACATGTGCTGGGAGATGGGAGATGGGAGGGTGGAACTTCGGAGTTTTTCTTTTGATTCATTTTCCCACTTAAGTGAAGGGTGTGCTGCTAGTAAATACCCTGTTAGATTGCTTTTGAAATTAAATTGAGTTTATTCTGCTAAAGAACTCAGAATTGCCAGTGGCATGTAGTAAGCACCCCAATGATACCAATTAGTAGCTATCATGGGTTCCCAGATTCCAATATATGGAACAGCATTTTGTTCATTAATTTTCTTTTTAGGGGGCACACATTTTTTAAAAAAAGCTAAAGGGATAATACAATCCCTGACCTCCAATGATTTGACTTACTCTTTTTCAACTTTATGATGGTGCAAAAGCAACATTTAGTAGAAATCATACTTGGAATTTTGAATTTGGATCTTTTCCTGGGCTAGTGCTACCTAGTCCGATCCTCTCTCAAGATGCTGGGCCCACGGTACTGACAGCAGTTCCCACTCAGCCTCACAATCACAGGTAGAAACAGCTGACACTACACTCTGCTGAGCTGCCAAGCTAGGATGTGTGGTAAGTTAGGTGGCTTAAATACATTTTGACTTATTTTTGATCTGTGATAGTTTGTCTAGTTAACTGCAACACAAGTTGAGCAGATATAGGTGTATTTCAAGTATGAAGTTAATATATTAGTCTGAGATTAAGCTCCTCCTTTTAAAATGGAGTCTTCACCTATGAAAAGTTGTGGTAGTAGATGATAGTCTTTTTAAAAAAATAATTTTTGTTGTAAAATCAATAATATACATACACACATACATATAAATATACAGCTCAATGTAGTATCACACAGTGAACACACTTGTATACCGTCATCTAGATCAAGAAATAGAAAACTAGTAGTAGCTAGTTGGATATTTGTGTTCATTTTTTATTTTTTTTCCTTCCTGCAATAGAAAGCTGGCCATTCCTGTGTTGGGATCCAAGGTACTTTTTCAATATTTCCTGTCCTGTGAAACACAGAAATCTGGTAATGTGTTTAACACAGGAGAGCCCAGTAAACCTCACCATGTCGCCCTTTTGCTGGAGGAGGAGAAATAAAAGGATTCCCAAAGGTACTATTAAGTTTCCAGAGTCATGAAAAAACTTCTAAAGTATGATGTGACACTGATTCCTTAAGCAATCTTCAAATCTTTTGCCCAAATGAGTGACTTTTATTCTTATGTTATGAAAACCAGGATTTTAAAAGAATTGCAGATATTTGAAGATAAAAAAAAAAAACACCTCTGCCCTCTTCAGTTACCTACAAATTTACTGAGATTAGGCATTCATCCCCGTCTCACCTTTGACCTCAAAAAAGAGGACCCAATTTTCTCCATGTTTCTCCCATCCAGCATCTTCTTGATGGTGTCAAACAAAATAGTATGGCCACTTTCTAAGTCAAGGTGTTGGTGACTTCTATGTATCATAGTTACTACCTGAGTTATTTCTCTTCCTCATTCACAAAACCAAATGAAGACTCTTTAGCATTTTCTTTGGGAAGTTCTTGTGTGTTGTTCCTTTTCCTTTTATTTTGTATGGTTTCCAGCACATAGCCTCTAATACACATGTGCATGCACACTCACACCCTCTAATTATAATTGTTTATCAGCTGAAAATTAGTGTTTAGCAAAAGCTGCCTCTTTTTAATTGAGGGCACTTTCATCTGCACCCAGCACCCACTCAGTATATGCTTGTTTCATGATCTTGTTCATTTTAGTGTTTGGTCTTCTGGGCAATATGCCTAGTTTGATTTTGGTTTTTTTTATAGTTTTTATATACTTTATTAGCAGTGTCTGGATTGCTTAGAGTAGCCATTGTGTACTACTGATGGAGAGCTCTGTGCCCTTCTTTAGTAGTATTTGCTTCATTTTTTTGAGTGTTGTGCTTAATAATTGGTATTTCATGAGATCTCTCAGAACACCCATCCTCTTCCCTCCCAAAGTCATTCGTGACCCCTTTTTTCACTTAAAACTAAATCAAGGAGAAAATATGGTTTTGGAAGTTAATTTTAATATATGAAGATAGTATACAAAATACATTCATCATGACTACAAGTGTCTGACCAAATCATGTCTTACTTATCTCTGTAGCATATATTCTTGATTTATATAAAAGTAACTTTAAAATTCCAGTTCCTTAAATAGTTATGCACAAAACACACACAAACACATACACATATACATGTAGTTCCTAACACTGTCAGTTAAAGATGCACTCCTTTAATCAATTTAAATGGGGCCGGCAAGAATCTGTTGCATGTTTGGCATTCTTATGGGCTAGGAAATACGGCATAACTCAGATATATGAGCAGTATTTTTCAGGATTTGGACACATTTGTCCCCTTGGCCAAAACTAATCTCTGAGCATCATTTCTTGAGCTAACTACATACAGATTTGTGATAATGCTTCAGTCCCAGACCTTCCACACAGTTACAGGTAGATTATCTCACAAACCCCAGAAGGAAGTGCCTGTTCTGTTAGCGACAACCATTCTTCTCATAAATGGAAAGTGGTTCTAATATTATCATCAGTGTTTTAATTTTCAGTGCTATTTTAATGCCTCTGCAATTAAATATATTCATTACTACAAGCTTCCATTCCAATCGAACCTTTTTTTTTTTTACAAATGGTCTTATGTAGGCTATAAGCCTGAGTATTAAGCTGAGTAACAGAATTTGAATAGATTTTCCCCCCTTTTGGAAAAGGGTATTTACTAAGGTCACTTAAGAATTAGATTTTAATATTAGATTATTAAAATGTAGGTAGCTGAGAGTTTCCTTTTGTCACTGATTGCTGGATCCTTCCCTGATTTGAAAACAAAAAGTAGAGAATTAATTGGGGCCCTCTTATTTCCTGTTTAACTTATGGCTAGTTACCTGATTTATACTATTGCCACTTGTCACAGGAACTTTTATGCATGGAAAGAAAAAGAGCAAAATTTTGTTTTGTTTTGTTTTGTTTTTGCTCTTCTGGCCCTACCCAGGTTTTGTTTGGATTTAGTGCTTGGTGGAGAGGCCTGCCTCGCTTCTCTGTTCTGGCTGGTGAGTCCCCAAGAGACACCATGTAGTGCCCACTGTCTCGCTGGGCAAGCTGCTGACTCTCCCATCTCTTCATACAAAGAACCTTAAAGAAAAATGTAGCACATAGGAAAGGAAGAATACATTCTTCTTGCATATAGAGTTAGGGTTCCAGAATTAAGTGGCATGCATAAGAGGGAGGATGCTCTTCTTTCCCAGAAGCACCAGTTCACTGTTGCCTGTCTGCTTTGGACTGGCTTCAGCAAGTCTGTATGTCCTAAATACACAGACCAGAACTTGCAGAGATAGCATCCAACAGAGGCTGAAGTGTAGGCACCCTTTTCTACCCTGTCTCCCTAGTCTGATAATCCTCAGACCCAAGGCAAGATCCAAAGCAGATGAAAATAGGTTCTTGTTCTGATGGCTCATAACTAATATCTTGAGTCCCCAGTTGTAGAAATACCTTTCGTATGTTACATACCACCTTTTTATTTTTTTAAAATCAAGGACCATAAAGTGCTTAATAGATACTAGTGCTCTTCCAGATTAGCATGAAACATTGGAATCCCCATTAAATAAAAAGGAAATATGACTGACTTCCTCTGTTTCAGGTCCCAACTCTTTGGGTAAGTTGGTTTGGCTATGCAGTGGAATCTTCACTCTGCCTTATTGGGTTTTGTTCCATCGATCCTCATCTTGGTACAGGAAAAAGCTCTCTACAAGACTGCATTTTCACTCTCTTTGGCTTCCTTTCATAGACAACTGTACAAAACAGGATAATACAAAAAATTAAGTGTCTTATCTATACATTAATACTTAATACAGAATCTGACATTTTAAAAAAATGTGACTTTAAGCCCAATAGTAGACAGCCCTAACCGACCAACAGATCTTAGCTGCTTATGAGCAACGTGCTAAGTGTCAGGCCTTCATGCCCATAGCCAACCCAGCTCGAGATAAGTTTCCACTGTCTTTCTGGAGGAGGCAACACTGCGGGCTGAGAGGTGAGTACCACCCTCAGTGTAGTTGAAGCACGCCATGTGCAGGAACGGTACAGAACCAATCCCACAGGGAAACTTACAGGATTTGCTTTGGTTCCAAATGTGTTTGTCCTTTCCTTACCTACCAGATTTCAGGAAATGTCCTCTCCTCTTTACCCTGTCTGCTTCCAGTTGGGAGCTTGAAACCCCAGTGGTCAGGGCTGGGAAACTAGCCATGGTATTGCAGAGAGCCCTCCCCCAGCCCAACCCACATGAGGCATCTCAGTCTTCCTCAGGCCATCTGGTTTTCTCTCTCCTTTCTTGCTGTCCTCCTTGGATGTCTTATGCTGGCTGGAGGAGTGCAGAAACACTGCCTAGGCCAGCACATGATCCCTCAAGCTAAAGGGATCTCTTGTTTCCCCAGTTCCAGGGCTCCTGGGCATGACCAGCTGATCTCTTGAGCTCTCCTGACCTGTGTGCTCAGAGGCCTCTGGGGCTGGAGCAGGTAAGTCATTTGGGCTTACAAAGGGTTTCTCTAATACAGTGAGTAAGATGAGAATTGAGCAGTAGTGTTCTTCACTTGTCACTATTTCTCTATCTGGGATTACATTCTTGTTAGTCAAAAAAAAAAAAAAGCTGTATTAAAATTAAGTCACAAAAAGCAGCTGCCTCTGCTCCCTGCAAAGATAAAGGTGTAAACTCATATATGCATAATACTGTCAAAGTGAGTTTTCTGGGGATGTAAATACACGTGTACTTCTGGAAATAAGGCTTGTGTTGACCCTTAGGCAGGCGGGGTGGAGTATAAGACCACCGAGTTATAGTCTGGGGGTGGAGAGCAACACAAATCCTCCTGTCCCAGCTCCAAGTTGTCATGCACAGATTTGATGTGGCCACAGCTGGAAAAGCAGAAACTGGGCCTGATGGTGTCAGAAAGCCCCGACTCCTTACTTTTACTGGTTACACGCAAGCTAAAGAGAAAAGAAAAACAATCAGATGTACAGGACAGGTTTCCCAAAAGCACACACTAAAACTCATTCTCTTACTGGGTCATTTGTCAATATCTGTCCTGGAGTCAATGGTTAGGGAGCCTTATCTCAGCCTGTCACATTGTCTTTGTTTTAAAATTGTACACTGCCTGCCTCATACCAGCTGGGTGTCACTGGGCAGATAGAGGTAGAGGCATCCCTGCCAGTGGTTGGGAGTGGAATGTATAATCAGATAATACAAACCTGTAATTCCGGGTGGAAAATAACTCCAAGACTTGTGTGTAGCCTCCTCTGACTCTTGGTTCAGATAGCTTGTATGTCAGCTAAAAAATGCCCCCTGTCCCCTCCCCACAAAATATCCATGTCAAATCCCAGAAACCTGTGAATATTACCTTATATGGCAAAAGATATGATCTGGAGAGGGGGAGCTTATGCTGAATATCCATGTATGTCCCAAATAGAATCATGGGAGGCAGAGGGAGGATCGTGAACACACGAAGACAGAGGTGGCCATGTGAAATGGCCATGTGGCTGAGATGCAGCCACAACCAAGGAATGCCAAGAGCTACCAGAGCTGGGACAGGCAAGAAGTGGATTCCTGCTCAGAGCCTTTGGAGGGAGCAAGGTACTGACACCTTGACTTTAGACTTCTGGCCTCCAGAACTTTGAGAGGATAAACTCTTAAGTCACCACATTTGTGGTAATTTGTTACAAGAGTCTCAAGAAGCTAAGAGCTTTACACGCAAAGGTGAATCCCACTGTCTCCCTATCACACTTGTGTTCTAGAAGCAAAGCTTTTTAAGTTACAGGACTATATTTTACCAGTGTTTACCAGTGAGGCTCAAGGGTGGGTTATATATGTTAGATCCAGCCTTGGACACATGAGGAAGAAGAGTTCCTCCTACTCTTTCATATTTACTTGATTTTGTTTGTCTAAAAGGAGCTGGGAGAGAAACTTGTGAACCACATTGATTCGATGGGTCTAGTACCTCCGTTTATGTTTAGTCTCAGGATAGAGGATACAATTTATAGTTTTCTTTCCTTCACAGAGATCAAGGAAAACGTAGTCACTCATTTTCTGATGGGTTCTAAAATATGAAAAAGCAATTATCCTACTTTCTCTTTTTTTTGGTACTGGGGATCGAACTTGGGATCTTGCTCTTGCAAGGCAGGCACCAGAACCACTGAGCTAAATCCCCAGCCCCTGCTTTCTCTTTTTATCTGTTTCTTATTGGTATTCTCTGATCTGCTCTGGCTCAACTCCGGTACCATTCTCGCACTCATGTTAAAAGCAAACAGTCATGCAGATGTGTACCCATCTTTCTGATTGACCTGATAAATTGTGTTGAGTATGTCACATGAAGGTATTTGTATGATCCTTTGATGTAGATCACAGTTCAACAAACTATAGCCCAGAGGCAGACCATCTGTTTTCTTTAACAAGAGTTGTATTAGATATAATTTACATACTACACAATTCACCTATTTAAAGGGTACAGGTCAGTGGTTTTTAGTACTGCTATAGTTTTTGTGTTCAATGTCCCCAGAGGCTCAGGCTTTGTAAAGGCCTGGTCCCCAGGGTAGCACTACTGGGAGGAGCTTTTAGGAGGTGGGGCCTAGTGGGAACTCCTTAGGCCACTGAGTGTGTACCTTCAGAGAGGACTGCAGGACCCTCATCCCTTCCTCTTTATTTCCTGGCTATGAGTTCCTCCATCATATGCTCCCCACCATTGCCATCTGACGCCCCTGTGAGAGTCCCAAAGCAAGTGGGTTTTTCCATTCTTGGACTAGAATTTATAAAACTATGAGCCAAAAATACCCTTTTCTTCCTGTAAGTTCATTATCTGAGGTATTTCATTATAGTAATGTGAGTCTGAAATGTAAAAACACATACATAAATTGTGTAACAGTTACCACAGTTTTGGAATATGTAATACCGTACTTAAAAGCAGTCTCTTCTCTTTCACCTATGACCCCAGCCCAAGGCAACCAGTGTCTCTCTGATTTGCCTATTCTGGACATCTCATGTAGAAGGAATGATATATAATATTTTAGGGATGTCTTTTACTTAGCATAATATTTTCATGGCTTCTCCATGTTACAGTGTGTATTGGTACTTCATACCTTTTACTGAAAAATATTACTTTATTGTACAAATATACCCTATTTTATTTATCCTTTCATCACCCGATGGGCATCTGGGGTGTTTCCACTTTTGGCCATTATGAACAATACTCTTATGAACAATTGTATCCCAATTTTTTGTGTGAACATAAGTTTTCACTTCTCCTGGATTATACACTTGGAAATGGAATTACTACTAGGTTACTGGATAACTGGTTAAACTTTGGAGCAACTGTTAACGTGCTCTCCAAAGTGACCACACCATTTTATATTTCTACCAGCAATGTGTAAGGGACCCAATTTCTCCACATGCTTACCAACACTTATTTTTTTGGTACCAGGGATCAAACTCAGGACCTTGAGCTTGTGAGGCAGGCGTGGTTCCACTGAGCTAAATCCCCAGCCCTCACCAACACTTTTTGCTTCTACTCATCCTCCAGGGTATGAGGTGGTATCTTATGATGGTTTTGATTTGCATTACCCTGATAACTAATGATGTCCTCGAATATACCCCATTAAACCATCTTCCCCCACATTTTCCTTGACCACCCCCCATCAACTGATGATAGAAAAGATGCCAGCTTGCTTACTCAATCTTGAGCGAGGACTTGGGTTTGCTCGCAGTCCAGGTGAAGCGCTTCAGCAAGGGGGAGGCCAACAGAGTGCTGCCGTCCAACTGATAATCCTGGTGGAGAAGGAGGAGGAGGTTACATGCTTTCCTGGCCCAGAGGGGCCTTCCTAAGTCTGTGGGAAGAGACTGGGCTGTACCTCTGAGGTTACCCCAGGCACCATCCTCCCACTCCACATTGCCTGCCTGCAGACACCAAGCATTTTCTTCATGCTGGAGCTACAAACGTGGTCAGTTACAAGTAATGCTTATTCCTGGTGACTGTGAGACTCTTCTTCCTGAGGCTAAGGCTAAGTAAATTTAAACAGAGGTAACTTCAGGTAACAGGTTAGCACTTATAATAGGAAACTTTTATGCAGATTATTGCATAGATATGTTAAACCTAATTTTGGCAGATGATGATTGGCTGATGGATGTGTTGTCATTTGGTAGCCAAGATATATAAAAGTTCTGGGAAATTTAAAAGATATGGTTCTTTTCTTGTTTTTAAAGATTCTATGGTATTTTCAGGCCCTCCTTGGTCATGTTGTCCAGCAATTATACGTCTTCATTGAGTCATCTTTACCACTGAGTCTTAAGCAAACTCTTTGTTACTCTGTAAAGACAGCATGTTCCTGTAAGTTGATTCCATCCTTTGTTCCTGCCTCCCTTGGAGACTCTTACTGGGCTGTGTTCATATCTTTAATCATTAGCAAATATCTTAGCAAATGAGAAAGCTGTCATAACTGTTAAGGCTGAGAAATCCTGTGTTTTACTCAGTATTATTCCCTTAAACTTGAACCAAGGTATCGAGCAATGAAACAAGATTTCTACTTTATCTCTGTATTCTGCAGCTTAAAACTTAAATGTGTTTAAATCGTCATATCCCCCTGTCTGGTGTGTCTGTGAGAAGATCCTGTTGGTTTTTAGAGTGGACAGTGCTTGTTTCAAGGCCATATCAGTTGTGGTGATCACATTCACATTAGTTGGTCGTCTAGCTCATTTCTGGGACATGGTTATCACCAGCACGCTTCTAACTTTAATAAAGTGCATAGGAATATCCAGGAGATCTGTGACAGGGTGGTAACTGACTTGGTGGGTATGAGTGGGTCCTGAGGGCCCGTGTTTCTGGCCTGCTCCTGCGTCGTGGTACCATGCTTTTCTGGAAATCACACTTGGAGTACCGGAGTCTGCCATACCTAAAGTGGTCTCCTGCCCAGCCTTCCTCTTCTGCCCTTATTCTCTCAACCCCACATCTAAAGCTTTAAAGAGAAGAGCTGGTGGAAGCCTCATGTTTGTCAAGCTTTGATGATTTCCCTCTCCCAGTGTGTCTGAGAAAGAACACAGATGTTCAGCATGCAGAACTTCAAGGGGCAAGGGCTTAGAACCTAGGTGGACTTGTGACTCAAGGCTGCTATACCAAAGGGCCTCTGTTATACCAAGAGGCCAGCCACTCACCTCACACACTAGGAGTTCTTCTGTACTTGGAAAGCAAGGATGCACCACTGATAGCCAAGAAGCTCAGAAACTATACAATGAAGTTTCTTAGAAACTGAATTCCCACAGGCAAGAATTTAGGCCCTGAAGTAATTCTGGGCCATCTTCAAATGGTGGAATTCTGCTTTTCAGTGAGCTTTGCATAGCTAAGTCTGGTTGTCAGGCCCCCTGACGTTGTTACTACCTATTAATGGCCCTCACTGACCAAGAGCTACCAGACTCCTGGAGTTGGTGTTTGAATGGAGTCAGGAAAAGTGTTTTACCAGGATGCACTGAGTTTAATATCATGACTTACATCGAACATGGAGGTGGTATTTGGTGAAAGTTCTTCAAAGGTTTTGATTCTTTCCAGGCTCATGAATTTGAAAGCATTTACGTATCTAATGAAGAAGCAAAAAGAATAATCAAAACAGGAAAAGGGATATAGCTTTGGTTAGTTAAGAGACCGTATACACTGTATCCTGGCTAAGATGAACCAAAACACAAATTGTTCCTCTGGCTCATATTTTCCACTGTGCCCCCAGGGAATCCTCACAGTAACTCACTTCCTCACATGGTTGTCAATTGACAGTCTGGTTTTCAGCAACCACCACCTCCTAAAAAATTCCACTCTGAGCCATTGTGAAATCAGAAAACTCTAGGCCTACAAGAGACCTGAAGCATTATCTGGCCTGAATGCTTTATGATACAAAGGAGAGAAATGATGCCCATGGCTGTGCTATGTGCTATTTATCACTTATAGCTGTCTACTTCCTGAAAGAGCGTAGGGTAACAAATAAAATGATCTGTCACAGGTGCACAGCTGGCTTAAGTGCCAGGGTCAGTCTTGTATATCCTGTACTGTGAATATAGATTGGGAGAAACAAGTACCAGCTGCACAAATTTTCGATTACCCCTGGACATCTGTGCTGACCTATCAGGAAAGACCATCAGGGATATCCACTAGCTAATTCTCACAGCCAAGGCCAATACTTATTGGTGAAACTCCTTAGTCTGATAGTCTGTCAACCTCTACAAGGCTCAACTTTTTAAGCGCCTCAGTGGGCCCAAGGCTAAGCAACATTTAGGAAGGGTCCAAATTACTTTGATATTCTGCTCCTCTCCCCCTTCTCTAACTCAGTCAGGTATTTACTCCAAGCTAGTTTTCTCATCTTTGAAGAAAGGATGAGTCATCTGCTTTGGCCTCCTGAGCTGGGTGTGAGGTCTGATCCGTGACACCTGTAATCCATCACAGGTCTGGGCTGACTGCTAGGTTTCTTCAAAGCCTGTCATGGACAGCTATCAATGTATCCTGCCAGTTGCAGCTGTTCCCTGTCCCCTCTTGGTGGCAGAACTGAGGTCAAGGACCAAGGGCTGCTGATAAAGAAGCTGGAAGGCACACAGGACAGTCTAATTTCCTGAAAGGAGACTTGACTGCACAAGGATCTAGGAGGGAGGGTCAGCACTCCGGGGATAAAAACCATTCTGCCATTTTCTGGCCACACAATTTTGGTGAGTTTTCCTTTTTGGAGGCTAATATCTGCATTTGCATATCAGAAGTAATATGTACTCCATAGGATTGATTGTTCTGAGCATAAAAGCAGTTGATATATGCGGAGAGCCTATCACAGTGCCAGACCACAGCACAAGTGTATGTAATACAACGACAGGACATGTTTGATACATGCGTCACTGAGCGGTGAAGTGCAGATCTCCAGCTGTTTGAGAGTCTCAATAAATATTCCTTCCTCTGGCCCTTTCTCCAGCTTCCTTTGTGATATGAAGATGTTAGTTTGTTAGGTGGGAGGGGGCAGTTTTGTTTCTTTAGCTTTATCCAAGGTTTAATCTAAAAGTTAATGTCAGGGAAAGAGATGGAGGATAATTCTGGAAGAAGTTTAAAGAAACTGAAGAAAATTTGTTATTCTTGATTGGATTCTGCTTTTTAAAAAAGAAATCCATAAAATACATTTGAGGGAAATTATGAAAATTTGAAGATGAGTTGACAGTATGGAATTTCTTTGATGTGATAATTTTTGATTTGGTTACACAGGAAGATACACTTCTTATGAGGTATATACTGAAGTTTTTAGAGGTAAAGTGTTAGAGCTCCATAAGCCCTCTTTAAAATGGTTCAGAAAAAGAAAAACCACCCCCCAATATAGAATATACAGATAAAATATGGCAAAATGTTAACAGTGATTGAATTTAGGAGGTGGGTGATCATTACCCAATTCTGTTTTCTTTTTCTTCTTCCCTTCCTCTCCCCTGTGTGTGTGTGTATGTGTGTGTGTGTGTGTATGTGTGTTTTAACAATCTTTAATAGAAAAATGGGAAAAGAAATCTTACCTGACATCATCAGAGCTTCCTGAATTAAACTTTGAAGCTGAAATACCATCCTTGAAAAAGTCCTCAGAAAAGGCAGGAGTTGAGTATGTAAACCCATTATTTCCTGTCAGTATGGTATTCAGTGGGATATAGTCTTTACCATCCTAAAATACCAAAGATAGAGTTCTAATTATACAAATTACTACTTCAATTTCTGTGGAGCATTATATCAGCTTCAACTGTCATTTGCCCAAATTTGCTTGTGTTTTGTGAAGGTAATTCTGCACGCGCACACACTTTTTATTGGTGATCTTACCTAGTAGTTGCTCTAAAACAACTAACAAACCCCCTTGACTTACATTCAAAGGCATGTGGCCTTCTGATATTCTAGATAAATTCAGTTTTACCTGTTGTACATTGGCCTGAAGCAAATCGCCTAGTTTTTCCACAAGTTCTGCAAATCGTGGCCTTTCTTTGGGGTCTTTGTGCCAGCAGTCCAACATGATCTGATAGCTGTTGAGGAGAAGCACACAGAAAGAGCTGGAGACTAGTGACATTTACATAGAGTGCCCTCGTGAAGTAAGGGATGTCATCTTGCATATACAGATCATGCTTTTGATGATATGGATCCCTGCTTCATTTTTAGATTTGGGTTTGTGGCACCAACACAGAAGGGGCTGTTTGGGCCAAGTTCTGCCAGTCATGGGAAACATATGTCTCCCAAGGTGGACTAACAAAGCAGCCCTCCTGAGCTCTCAGACCCAAGTTCTTTGGCTGACTGTAGCCAGTACAGAGTGAAAGGATTGAGTCCTATAGTCAAGGAGAGCTTCTTGCAAAGGAAGCAGTACTGTCTACTGCAGTTATATGTGAAATGCAACATTATTCCACTCACTTTCCAATCAGAACAGTGTCCTCAAAGTTAAATACAGCTGCAGACAGCGATGGTTTGCAGAGTTTGCAGAGCTCATTTCACCCTTGGCTTGTCACAAGGGCTGGTTTGAGCTGCCTTCTCAGTAAGTTCACGGTGTTTCCAAGACCTCACATTCCCTGATTAGGCTCTGCAATGAAGACTGGTGGAGAAGGCCCTGGGTGCCTGGCTCACGTCACTTCCCAAAGGTGAGGTCTACACAGTTAGACTTGAGTAGTTCCTTGCACTATGTGTTAGTTAACTGTGTGTGGTTGGTTGTTTTTCACCCAGCATTTCTAAGCTCCTGTTATAAACTGGTCTCCTGCCGTGAGGCAAAAAGTACAGGCAGTACTTCTGGATTTGAAACATCTGTCTTAATATCACAGAGGCCAAATCTTGTCCTGGGGTTCCAACATCAACCGGTTCCTTTGTGATTCTTGTTATGGTTTGTGTCTAGATGTTCCCCCAAAGCCTCATGCAGTCAAAGGGGGAGCTTTTCAGAGGTTTCTGGATCTACAGTGTGTGGTGCTGGGATCAAGGGTGTGTGATTACTAAATCGTTCCACTGATTGGTTTGACATAGTTCTGGCTAGGATTAAGGGTGTGAGTGTTATACCCATGCCAGGGCACTAGCCTGCCTAAAACATAAGGGACAGAAAGAGGGGTAATGTGCTCTTTCCTGCCTGCTTGACATGGACAGTTTCTCCTCTGTGATGCCCCTCTGCCATGCCATGCTGCCTCGGAGCCAGCTGACTGGACTAAAATCTCTATACACTGTGAGCCAAATAACCCTTTCCTCCTTTAACTTTTGTATTTTGTCTCAGCAATGAGAAAAGTCACTAACACTTCTCTTCTTATGCTTTAAAGATATTAGGGTCCCCTCTTGGTCCTATCTGCTCGGAGTGGAGGTCTATACCTACTCTTCTTTTTGCAAAAAACATGTTAGAGTTCTACATACAGTAAGGATTTTTTTTTTTTTTTTTTGGTACCGGGGATCAAACTTGGGACCTTGTCCCTGTGAGGCAGGCAGTGGAACCACTGAGCTAAATTCCTGTCCCACTACATACAATAGATTAAGGATTTTTTCTCTTTGGGCACTTTGTGCTCTTCATGGGATATTTATTGTACATTATCTCTTTCAGACCTTCTGAAGGGGACTCTGACTGAAACAGATCAAAATCTGAATGGGCTAGGACATTGGAACCGGGTCAGAATCAGCCTGTAATTACGAAGTGGCCTGGAACGTCATCTCCACACCCCTCACCCAGTGTAGGGTCTGGCGTGCAAGGACTCAATAAATATCTGCTTAAGGAAGACAGATTGGTCCCTGGGAAGAGAGAGCCCAGCTCCTTCCTGAATTCTTCAGCCATACTGCAGATGTTACTTGTGTGCAGAGAGCTGGGTGAGGTTAGCAAAAGGCCTGAGCAACTGTGCACATATCCTACCCCTGCCAATTGTTAGATGTGTGCCTTTATGTCACACCAACAGCTCCTGATATCCCTATTTTATTTCAACATATATGAGACAGCTGACAAAGATGGTAAAATACAGGAAGGTTTAAGAAGAGAAGAAAATAACAGGAGGAAGGTAAAATAAAGACAAGAAAAAAAAGGTGAAGCTATAGGGAAAGTTAACATGAAAAATTTATATCAGAATTCTGAGGCCTTTCATGGGGGCCAGCTCTATCCTTCCAGGCTGCTGGTGAAAAGAGGGAATAACCAATTTTATGATTTACACAAGCCAGAAGTTGGAAACTATCAGTTACTTGGCAGAAGTATGACTGCTGCTACTGATAAAATCTAAGAGGAGATCCTCCTAGATGTCTCAGTGACATTGTCATCAATCAGGCAGCCCTGACTTCATTGGCCTCTTTTGTATATTGTCTTTCATTGTTGGCCAAAGCCTTCACAACAAAAAATGTCATTCAGGTACAATAATTTTGAGAGGCAAAGCAACATGTTCCAGGCATGTGCATTCCAAGGTTCCGGTAGAACCTAGGATATAATTCTAGGTACCCATGCATCTATAGGCACTGTATGGTCTTTAAGAGAATGCTTTCTGGCAAGCATGTGGTAAGCATATGCCCTAAATCTTTGATTAAGGAACAGGAGCTTATAGAAAACATACAAAGATAAGAGAATCTGCAGTTCACACATCTGATCCTCATGAGCTTCTCTCCTTAACCCTGGTCCAAACCTGTGGGCTAAGGCATTCTCAGTGGATGGTTCGGGGTTCCTTCTACCCTGTACCTATTTCCCTCAACTCCCAGGGACTGTGGTGGACATCAGCTGGTTCGAAGAACTGTGAGGGCCCTTTGGAGAGGGTGATGTTTGGACATTGTCACTACTGCACTGGGACACAATTTAAAGATACAGAAGATACCAGGAAGGAGCAAGGGAACACGAACTCACTAATTCTGGGCTATTGTCCCTGCTCTCTGAGAGACACATGACAGGTGGTGTCCCAACTATGCCTGACCAGTAGTACTTCTGAGTAAAATCTCAAGGTGCTTGCTCTTGGGTGCTCCTAGGACTCACCATCAGGCCCCAGCGGCCAGCCTTCTAGCAGCCAAAGGGCAGAAACAGCAGTGAGCCATGTGGTCTACACAATCCAACAGAGATCTCATTTTAAGTAAATTTACATGTTTTACTAACTTAGGGCAGGTACAAAAATACGTACCCCAGAGACAGGTGGTCACTAGAGAAAAATGTGAGGTGCCTCTGCCCAAGGTGCACTGACTGTGGCAGATTGGCCGGCTTCTGCCTTACCACACCCACACAAGCCTCACTGCCCAAGGCTCTTTCCTCTCTAGCACTATACACGTGCCTGGAGGCAGGTGGAAGAATGTTAAATACACACCTAGATGATCTAGAAAAAGCAGTGAAAGAGCTGGAACTGGAGCTCAGTGGTAGAGCTCTTGCCAAGGATGAGCAAGGCCCTAGTTTCCATCCCCTTTAAAAAATAAAAATAAAAAGGTAGTAAAACCAAGGAAGGTTTGAATTGGTGAACAAAAGGGGCTGGAGGCCAGGGAGCAAGGAGCAGCTTCCATTCAACAGAGGCCTTGGGTTCATTTCCACCAGCTCCATCGTCTCCTGGCAAACAGGAGCAAGTAGCTGTTTGGGGGAACTCTCCCTGGTTCCTCTGATGAAGCCAGCAACAGGGACCACCTACAACTACGTGCTGTTTCCTAGTTTCATTTGTGGTTTCTGATTGCTAGATTCCATTCCTCTGGCCTGCAATTCAGTGAGAATCATCTTAGCAAACACCAAAGGAAAAGAAAAAAGAAAATATTCATTGCTTTTTCCTTTTTTGAAAGGAATCTGATTAAACAGGTTCTGGGTGAGGGACCAGTGACTTGACTCAGTGTTATACGGTTTTTCGCCACTAAGGAAACAGTTTTAATAAAGTAAAGGGTCACCAGTTGCACCCAATCTGGGGTGAGGGGCCCATGGGAAGAGTTTCCTTTCCAAGCTATCACCCAAATTCCCAAGCAAACACCACTTTAGACCAAGGTCAGGTCATGGACTCCAAGTTCTGAGAAGTTGCACTTTGTCCTCACCCAGACCTTCCTACTGATGAACAAACAAGGAGATTACTTCTTCAGCTTTCAGAGTCAGTGTAAATGTCTAGAGGCCTGAATCCTGGCCTGCTGAGGAAAATTTTCACATTTCTAAAATAAACTTCTTCTCCAGAGATGAGGATCCACACCTCTATTCATCACTTGGTGCGCAGGGGCCACCCAGGGGAAGTTTATACAAAGACCTGAAAGTTTGTTAAAATCCAGGGGAGTCTTTAGTCCAAAGCCAGGTGGCTCTGTCCCTCTAGAGTGGTTATAGACCAGAACCTGGATGAGAACTGAAGATGCCCCTGCAGATGTGTAGGAGGGTGCTATGGACTCTGGACTCAGGCTGAGTTTGCTTAACTGATCAGCAGTGTGGCCTTGGCCAAGTCACTTGGGTGCTCTGTGTCTCAGCAGTCTCATCTGTAAAACAGAGCTAATAACAGCACCTACTTTACAGCATTGTTGTGAGCATCATGTAAATTAATAAATGCTAAAGGTGCTTAAAACAATGTCTCGCACTTACAGGCACTAAATAACCACTTAGTTAATAAATATATGTAATAACTGCAATCATCATTACTGTTAGTAATTGACAACTTAGTCATGCTTTTCAGGTTATATGAAAACTGCAAGGACATTTGTGTGGGGTATCAGAGAACCATATCTTCTGGGGAATGTAGGGTACAATCCTAACTTAACAACCTCTGTGGTCTTGGAAGATCAGCCTGGGAGATTGGGCTCCAAATTTGTCTTTTCTGCTGCTCTGCTGATGGCTTCGATCCCAAGAGTCTTAGTTTAGTACTTGTCAGATTCGGATTATAGTACTGCACTGCCTACTTCTCAAGGCTGTGGTACCGTCCCGTGAGACTGTGTGGGGAAAATGTTTAGAGAGCCATAAAGTGCAAAGCTATCTCATTTCGAACCAAGTCTCTTGGTGTTGCCACTCTCTTCAAGTTAAAGGAATCAAGCGAGTAAAAAGCCCCAAGGCCTGTAGCACTCTGGAGCCCAAATGGAGTGCTGGGGTTTACCCAGCTCTGTCCCCAGATCTCAGAAAGAGGCTATGCCACAAGCTCCCTGTGTTTTCCTGAGGAGGATACCATGCAAGACAGACAAAAGCATTCCCCTGCCTCTTCCTGCGCACATAGGCTGTCCTTGGCCCTGCCTTCATGCCCGAGTCCTCTGTCCCACGCATCCAGAACCTGTCCTGGATCTGACCTAGCTTTGTCGTGAGATGCTGAAGGAAAGCGATTGTGACTTTTGGCCAAGCCCACACTTCCTTCACTGCCTCTGACTCCTCCGTGAAGGCCATCCCAGGCTCCAGAGGACCCCATTGTGTGGGTGGGATGAGGAGGGCTGCCCGCCAGTTCAGGAAAGGTGGTGCCGCCTCAGAGAGGCCCAGGTCCTTGTCAGCAGCTCCACAGAACTGCAAGTGTCATCACATTCTTGCTCAAGCCTCAAAGTGCAAAACATGCAAGTACAATTCAACAATGAAGAAGGCCTTCACACGGAGCCTGTTGTCTTCCCAGAGTCACAGATGGCATAGCAGGAAGGCACCTGAAGAAGTTATCTGGTTCAGGCATTTCCAGAGAGCAGCTGGGCCTATTTCTAAAGGACTCTAAGATTACTGCCCATGTAATCTTCTGTGGAGTATTATCACAGCTCCAGTTAGGAAATCCCCCTGTGGCCCTCCTTCATTTCCTCCCCTGCAGTCCAAAAGGCCAGGTAGTATGGCTGGAGCACTGGTCAGCAGCACCGGAAAACCTCAGGCCTGGGGTGGCTTAGCTCATTAGGCTCCCCCTTGGGGAGTGAGGCCAAGGTCTTCCATTCAGCTCCTGGGTGGTCTATTCATTGTGCTAGATTTAGACCCTGAACTTCTAGTTCCCAGATAGAGGCTTTGAAAAGTCATGTCAGTGATCAACAGAGGAAACAGGTAGGGATGGAGCAAGGACAACACATCCCACGCCAGGAAAACACTCCCGGCACAGCTGGGCCCAAGGGGGTGAGGGTGGAATCCCTGGAGAAAAGAGAGCTGGCTGCATCTTTCAAGATTGGGGTTCTAAAGTCAACAACCCAGCCCCTGGGGATACTCTGGAGGGAAACAGCTGAGGGTGAAGGAGCACGGGCTCACATTTCAGGGGTTGCATACTCAGGGGCTTTCATCCTCATGCCTTCCTTCAGACGACTGCAGAAGTCCTCATCCATTTGCACTCCTGGGTATGGAGACCCGCCTGTGGGGAACAGTGTGGGCAAACATAGGCATGTTATGATTTCAGGGTGCCGAAGACCCTATGGGCACAATTCAGTGTTTCTTTCCTTCCTTTACACCAATGCTTTAGTAATAATTCCCCAGTGACCAAATTGGACCTCAAAGTAGGTACCGCACGAAGGAGTTCAGTAGGTCCTTTCTAGGGATGCCCACTTTGGATGGTTGGTCCTGTGGTGTTGGGTCTCTAATGACCAAACGCCATTCCTAAAGTCACTCCTGCCTGTTTGGTCAGGGAAAGGGGCAATCTAAAGGGTCCCCACCTTGTCCCTACAAGGAACTCTAAAGAAATCCTATCGTTAGAGATTCATTGCTTGGCTTAATGATCTCTTTTTAAAGACCTGATGGAAGTGGTGCATGGGGGTACACATCTATAATCCCAGCACTCTAGGAGGTTGAGGGAGGAGGAGCCAAAGTTTGGCCCAATCTGCGCAACTTAGTGAGATTCCGTCGCAGAGTTTAAAAAGGGGGCTCTGGGCCCCTTCTGTCTCTCTTAGACCGAAGCTTTCTTTCTCTCAACAAATTTTTCCTACTCTTAAAAAAAAAGGGAGGGGACCCTGGGGACATAGCTCAGGGGTAGAGTGCCCACGGGCTTGAGCCCTCAATACTGCAAAAAATAAAATAAAATAAAATACCAAATAAAGCTGAAGATCTGAGGCTACGCTACCTGTGGATCACTCCTACCCCAGTGAGAATAATTTCACTTCTTGCAGCACTGGGGACTAGTACTTGTAACAGGCCTAAGGGAAGGGGGACCTTGGGCTCCCTCCAGGATAAGGTTGAATGGTGTGGGGTGTGGGGTATCTGTGTTCAGAATCCTACAGAGCTAAGGGGGCCAGAGGGCCCAGACTTTGCCTTTTGCCAGCCTGACTAGCTCAGATTTCCCTACTGACTAATCCTTTTAGAGGCATCCCTGACTGCGAGGGGCCAAGGCCTCCCAATCCACTGTGTTCCAGGGCTCTTACCTACTAATCTCAGCTTGTGCATGTCTGCACTTTCTAGTAATTGCTGCTGGTAGGAAGCAGCTGGGAGATGTGCATGCTGGCCACTGTGGCCGCCAAGCTGCTTTCAAAGACTGGAAGCAACAGGTGTCTGTCATCAAAGCGGGGGAATGATTTTTACACATTACAGGAAATCGGGGATGTTACTAAGTGACTTTTATTTGCTGTAAAAGTCAAACTTTTGGCAAAGCCCAGAAGACTCTTGGCTAGACCTTAGGTTTGGGAAGCCTCACATTGTCACTGGGTGTCTGTGAGCAGATATGGGCTGCTGTGTGCACAACTATGCACGTGGGGCCCGGAGCAAGGCTTCTAGAAACCCACAGTGGACAGTACTATAGGCAGGATCAACACACCAGTGCTCTTTATGGTTCACCTGCTCAGACCAGTAGGCAGGGCTTTACCATGTGCTAATATCAGAGGCAGGCATTTACCTCGGGGCTGCCTGATCTCTTCCCTCCCTCAAATGTACCTAGGGAGAAGATTTCCCACAGCAACACTCCAAAGGACCACACATCACTCTTCGTGCTGTACATTTTGTCAAAGATGGATTCAGGAGCCATCCATTTCAGAGGAAGTCGAGTCTAGAAGAGGGCAAAGGGGACTTGAGCAAAAGGCATGAAAACAAAGTATATGCAACCCCAGTGCCCATGGGTCAACCCCCTGCCCCTGCCCCCACCCACGCGACATGTGGCCCAGAGTGATTTCCCAGAGCAGCTGCAGTTTCCTAATACCAGGCACCTCCTAAGGCAGGCAGCATTATGTGAAAGGAAGGTACCGTATGCCACACTGACCTTCTGGTGCCAATGCATGGTTAGTATGCCCCTCCAGAGTACCCAGGACATCCTAACTGATGGCTCAGAAAGAAACCTTCCCCTCAAAAAAGCCTGAACTCTGCAGGAACACTTAGGGTCTGGGAGTGATCTGAGTTAGTAGACATCTGAAAATTGGTGGTAACTTCACAGGATTTTTCCAAGGAGAATTTTGAAAGATATTTCTAGGTAAAGAAGACAGGACTTTAAATCACTGATGGGGAGAAGAGGGTGTAACTTCATGGGAGAACACATGCTTAGCATAGAAGGCCCTGAGTTCCTTCCCCAGCAACCCCCACCCCCACCCCATTCATCGAGTAGGGCAGGCAAAGCCATTGGAAAGGAGAAAGTGATTTAGTATTTAAGCATGTTTAAGAATTTAGTACTTAGGAGAATGTAGGGTTGGTTTTCAAGCATATGGACAAATTTTGCTTCTCTTCCACATAGCAGGAATCTTAGGGAGTCACCTGAGGGTTGGGCTAGGGACTGGCAGGAAGTATGGGATAACGGAGAGACATAGGAGAAAAAAGAAGGGAAAGAGGTGGGCTGTGGTTGAAAGAGACACAAATGGACAGAAAAGAGGGACAGACTGAAAGAGGTAGATGTCATCTGTGTAAACCAGGGCTCAAAGGAAAGTTTTGTGGGCTTTTTTCCCCTTTAATCTGTGGAACAGTGGTTCTCAAAGTGCAGTCCCGGGCAGCTGTGTCAGCATTGCCTAGGAGCTTGTTCCAAGTGCAGATTCTCAGGTCTCAGCCAAGACTTACTGAATCAGGGAGGGTGAGGGTGGGGCCAGCAAACTGCAATTCAGCAAGACATCTAGGTGATGAGCATGCTCAGTAAAGTTTGAGAGCCAGTGCTGTGGAACAATCCTCAGACCTCAGACACAAATTGATGCCTCAGGGTAGAGGCCAAAGAAGAGAGGACACAGGAGGTCACCCACTAAGTGACAAATAACACTGTGTTCAAAAACAAATGCGGAAGAGAGGCCAGCCTGAGCCAGCCGGGAGATGCTAGACAAGGAAGGCCCACACAGAAGTAAACAATTTCCTCCCCAGCAAGATAATCTCCTTCCCTCCCCACCCTTTCCGGAGGTACATGCACCTGCTCAATCAATCATCCGGGTTTACGTGAGGGACAGAGTCCAGGCTGCTCTCTTCAGTGGCACAAGTACCCCCACAGGAGTCCAACTCGGGGGATGATATGGTCTCACCATGCCCTACCAAAGAGTCTCAGGCTAGCAAGACACAGGCAGCTGTGCCTGAAGGCCAGGGACTTAGAGAAAAGCAGAACCAGAAGGTAATGGCCGTTCCGATCCCCGTGTGAGGGCTTTCTGCTAGACACTCATCCAGATTGCTTGTCTTCATGTCATAGCTTTTGGGGACTACTGCCGATGAAGTGTAAATATTTACCAAGGTTTTGGGCTGTGGCTTAAAATGATAAGTTATAAATGAATCAAACAAATATCAAGCTGACTTACATCTCCTTTTCTCACATAATCAGGGTTCTTATAAATATCCCGGGCCAGGCCAAAATCACAAATCTTCACCACATTGTTCTCAGATAAAAGGATGTTTCGCGCTGCCAGGTCTCGGTGAATGCACTATAATAAAACAGTTACATAATCAATGCACTTCCTTAACCCAACCAACTAATTTCCTGAGCCTCCTTGGTGTCATTATTCTTTTGGTTTTTTTTTTTTTTTTTTTTTTTTTTGGTACTGGGGATCGAACTCAGGTCCTTGCACTTGCGCAGCAGGCAGCGAAACCACCGAGCTAAATCCCCGGCCCTTGGTGTCATTATTCTTAATTTGAGGATCTATTTCACATGCAGCAAAGGCAGTGACTTCCATCGTGCATAGAGTTACCATAAACACAAAGTTCTTCTTTACAAATATAGGTCCCTTGAGACCCCAAGTTAAGAAATCCTCTGAATCCGCTGGCTACTGTTCTACAAATGGCATCCTGGTCAACCAAGTTGGCAAGTCTGAGTTAGCAAAACTTCCCCACAGCCTCTTAAGGGGCAGATATCAGATCTCCAGTCAGCAGGGGTTTTGTGGAAGGGTCCCACGGGGATGTATTTACAGCTCTCCTGTGAAGTCATGGTACTCTGAGATTCTGGACAGTTTTAAAACATGCCAGAGGGCACTGTGGAAAACTGTTGCCAGATCTGTCTAGTCCAAACCTGGTGAGCTTCTCACCTAAAATTAAGTCCTACTCACTAGTACCCAGGGCTCATCATTCTCAAAGCTCTTCATACTTGGGCAAGTTAAGGCATTTGTGGTGATGTTTATTCTTCATTTAAAGATGTGGGTATATCCAATTACTAGAAAAAGTGGATTTATAGAAGTGTGGGTCCAGGTATGACAAAGAAGAAAAACAGTAGAGGAAAGAATTTTGAAATTTTTTACCATGAAGAAATGATAAATATTTGAGAAAATGAATATATATAACCTCATTTAAACATTATGCAATGTATACATGTATGGGAACATCACATGGTATTCCATTAACATGTATGAATTTTATTTTAATGTACCAGTTAAAAATTAATGTTAAAAAATATAAAACAAAAATATTTTTAAAAACCATTCCTTATCCCTGATTTTTTTTTTAAAAAAGAAGAAAAATAGTAAAGAGATAAGCTGACCTTCCTGGAAGACAAAAACTCCATGCCTCTGGCCACTTGAAAACTGTAAGAAATTAGATCTTCCATGGTGATGGGCTGCTTGTAGAAATCATCAGAATCTGCAAAGCATTGGAATCATAACTGTTTGTAATGGCTCTTATTATTCCACCAAATCCCAGTTTATTGTAACAATGTTAGGAAAACATAAAACAAACCAACAAATGGATCAGAATTCATCCGCAAGAGCATTGGCGTTTCAAAAGGAATAGCAGAGGTTTTTCCAGGCTGCTAGCCCATTGGATCCAAGCATAGGGGAGAGGGATGACCTCTTAAGACAAAAAGGCCCAAGGGGCGACAACACACAGTTCCCTGTCAAAATTAGTAACTCTGTAAATAATCTTACTTCAAATCTTATCTCCTGAGGACATTACTCTTCAAGTCTCTCACGGATGTTTATTAGGGTGATAAATAAGAAAAAAATGTCTGAGATGCACAGTGTGTTGTAAAAATATCCCAGACTGTAGGACAGGAAGGAATTAATACCTACCCTCCTCTTCCTCCGCATCACTCAGACTTTTATCTTCCTGGAACCCGGAGCTTGCGAAGCTCTCACTGCTGGTGACACTGTCTAGCCTGGGTTTTTCGTCCTGTTCCAGGCCTGGCTCGGGTGTTTCTTTCTTAGGCTCCGTGTGTAATGCTGCATCCTTAGAACAGACCAAGAAGGACATAGGTGTAAGGGAGCCTGGCACGGGAATGGAGACGTGGTCCCTTGGGCGGGCGGGCGTCTGACTTGGAGAATGTCATTATGCAGAACAGGTACTGAATTAGCAGCAAGGTACCAATGGCAGCATGGCACCTGGATACTTCTGGGGATGTGGAGACTACACTGCTCTTGTCTGGGCTTCTAGAATCACTTAGGTCAGAAAGAAGATTAACAGTAGTGGTAGGCACCAAATGCTTACTCTAGCATCTTCCCAACAATTCTACGAACTGGTTCTTAAACGTGGAGAAAAGGGTTCAGAGAATTGAAGTAATCAAAGTCAGATGCAGAGAGTAAATGGCAAAGCTTGGACCCAGGTTTGGCCAACTCCTAAGTCAGTGTTCTTAACTACTTCTCTACCACATAGGCCACCTCATGAAAGATGACATGAATCTTTAATCTTCATGTCCTATTCAGATGACACCTAAGAGATCCCCGGTGCAGTTGGGGCTTCACTTTGGGGTCCCTGTGGGAGGTTACAAAAGAAGGCTACAGTTACTGATCTCTCTTTTTTTTGGTACCGGGGATTGAACTTGGGTCCTTGTGCTTGCGCAGCAGGCAGCGAAACCACTGAGCTAAATCCCCAGCCCCTCTGGTTTCTTTGGAAAAGGAAGGAACTAGAAATTTTTTTTCTCTTCCACTAAAAATTGATACAGGTTGATCCTAACAAGAGTAGACAAAGCCTTCCACCCTGGATTGGGGAGCCACGTTCTGGTATGTGCCTTGGCTCTTCCACTAATTATACGATCTTAAGCAAATCACCTTACTTTTCTGGGTTTCATTTCCTCACATGAAAAGCTCTATCCTATTTTACAACGCACAGCAAAAGATATAGGTTCTGGGCGTTCATGTGGAATGAGAAAAAATATTATTGCCTTTAGTTATTCATCAGGTAAATGTCATCGTAGAAACTTAGCACATTCAGTAGCTTTAGGACTGGACCACATACCTAGCTTTGATTCTGCTAGATGGTAATTCTGACACAGAGGCTGACAGGGCCTGGTGTACAGTGGAGCCCCTTGTCCACCTGCACAATAGCAGCGCTAGCATTAATCAGCCTCCACATCATCCCTTGGCTTTTCTAGAAATGTCACAAAGCAGAAGCGATCCCTCCACCAGAGGGCAAGTAGGAGCAAGCAGAGGGCAGAGTGGAAGCCTCAAGAGAGACAACCCTACCAAACCCAGGGGGTATAGAGGGGAGCAATGTTCCTGCTCCTAAAAGGAGACCTTCCAGTGTGGCTGGAGGGAGGCCGACCCAGAGCTAACAACAGCCACCGCCTGAGCACTCCATCCTGCCAAGTCCCGGGGGTGTTCTGGTGGCTTAGTGCTTCCTAAATCCAGTCCAAGATTTCAGCCCTGAAGGAGCTATGCACTACTCTCAGCTAAGGCCACTACCCTTTCCTGCAAGCAGGTAAAGAACATAATTGTTATTGTGTCTCCATGAGGCCGTAGACTTGGTTCTGCTCAGCTGGAGACTGGAATGTTATTTTCCACAAGCCCCTTCCCGCAGCAGAAGGCTGCAGGAAACTTGCTGGCCACCGTGTGGGGAGGAAAGGTCCCTCCCCCACCCACACACACACTCACTAAGGACGCAGCACCCACAGAACTCTCTGGGCATCGTTCTTCAACACACCTTCCAGAAGCTGTACCCTGGAACATGTTGCCAAGCTCCCTCCTTCCCTTGCTAACCTCTAATCAATGGTATATTCAGCTTTGATTATCAGTAACCGCCTCTATTAAATAAAGGTTTCAGGAACACTGGCAGAATAGTAAATTTATTACAAATAATTTTTAAGGATCCTGGCAAATTTATTTGGAAAAGAATGTATTCTATTTTCAATTTAGCCTTTTGGTTTTATATTTCTTTCACCTCCTCTATATTTCTTTAGGATCTAAATGTGAAAGATAGTCCTGGGTTTTCCATGAAAACACAGTTCCATCATCTTGTACAGGGAGGAGAGTCATCAAATATAGCCAGAGAAGGAAGCACACTCTTCAAGACAAAGAATGCATGAACCCAAATGCTCCATCCTGCTCAGGCCCCTTGTGGTGTTCTATTGGCTTGGCTCTTCCTGAACCCAGTCCAGGACTCCAGGACCTAAAGGAATTTATACTGCTTTAGCCCAGGTACCACTGTCCTCTTTTTCTGTGTTTTTTGTTTGTTTGTTTGTTTGTTTCCACCTTATCCAGTGTGGTGTCCAAGAAAACACTGAAAAGCAAGTCAAGAGACCTGGGTCTGGCCTGGGGAGGTAGTTCAATGGCAGAGTGCGTGCCTAGCATGTGCCAGACCCTGGGTTCCAGCCCTAGCACCACAAAAATGAAATGAAACAAGACACCTAGGTCTTTTTCCCTGGCTTCACCTTATGGCAATTGCATTTTTAAACAAGTCACTTGGCTTCTCTGAACACCTCTACAATCTGTCAATGTAGTGTAAATATGAATCAGTGATGGGAAACCTTTTAGAGTTTTCAATAATAACAAACAGCTAACTTCAGCATATGTGGCATAGGTCTGCCACCACTGATTATTAGCTGATTACAAAAATAGCTTTCAGCATCAAGATTCCAAAGATTAGAGGGCCTGGCTTGAAACTGGGGAAAATATGTTCTTGAATTCACATTGCCAGTCTGTTTAACCAAGATACCTGTGTCTGCAGTTAGATGAAAGTTTCATTGGCTAGTTCTGTTTAATACTTGAAAGTCTGATTCTGAAGTTTGAATGTTTAACCTCTATGTAACACATTTTCATCACTATTATTGATGATTACTTGCTAATAATGTTAAATTTCTGCTCAGAGAAAAACACACCATTGGTGCCATGTCACATTGCAAAATATTAATTGTTTGCCCTCAGGTCTTGGACACAAGTGTTTTTGTTTTGTTTTTGCTGGTGCTAGAAATAGAATTTAGGGCATTCACAAGGCAAGTGCTAGGCAAATGCTCTACCAATAAGCTGCATCCCCAACCCCCTAGGTGTTCCTTTTATTACATAGCTTTTATTTAGTGGATAAGGCTGATTCAGTCAGCTAAGAACGACACAGGTGATGAGGGTGCAGAGTGGGAGAAAGGGCCATAGGAAGTGGACAAAATGATTTCCAGCTCTAGTCCTATCACCAGTGACTGTACAAATCAGTCAGTTTATGTCCTTAATTTCCCTAATAAATGAAGACAGCTATATCTGGTAACATCTTTTTTTTTTTGGTACCTGAGATCGAACTCAGGACCTTCCACTTGTGAGGCAGGCGCCGGAACCACTGAGCTAAATCGCCGGCCCAACATCTTCTTTCTTGAAACAAGTGACTTATGAGAGATGGAGAGAGAGAGAGAGAGAGAGAGAGAGAGAAAACTACCAAGATGATTTGATATTTAGGTAGGTGGCTAATACATTTAACCCTCAATTATCAGTGCCTACACAGGGATTAAGTAAGTCCTTGTGCTATCCACAAAAAGGTATGACAGATTACCATGGAAGAAAAACACCAAGAAGAAAGAACAGAAATTCAGTTTTCAGTCTAACCATTAACAGAATGGTTGAGATAGTTTTCTCCTGTTTTATACTGCTATAGCCTAAATGGCAACCCATTGCTGGCAAAACAAACAAACAAAACATAAAACGAGTCCACTTTTCAAATCCTTACCTTATTGAGAAAGAATAAGTCACGCTTGCTCTTGAGGTAGTTGGAGAGATTCCCATATTTGCAGTATTCAACAATCACCATCAGAGGCCCTGCAGCCAAAAACCAGCACATACTCAGCCATGCCAAGTCAGCTAGCCATTTGCCAGCCTTCGGTTGGCCTAATATAAAGTTGTTTTTATGCTAAAAGAGCCTAGGAGTGCAAAGCAGGGATGAGAGACTGTAAATATGGTGATTTTTTTTCAGTTTAGCATGAGAAGGGAGTTTGAAAAATACAATAGAAATAGAAAATGAAAGTAGGTGGGGGGGAGGGGCGGCGCAGGAGCAAAAGAAAGAAGAAGCAAAGAAATAACTTGCAGGAGGAGACGAGCAAAAGCCCGCCATCCTCTGCCCCTTTAGGCAGGTCCTGGTGAGAGGGACCTCTGAACTACTTAAGCAGCTTCTTTTTCTCAGGTGGAAAACAGGTTACCTAGCCAGTCTCCCCAGAGGCATGGCTGCCAAGGAGTGTCCACACAGTTTGCCTTGGGGCTTGTGAGAGGCAGTTAAGTTTTGCTTTACAGCAAACTTTTTGTAAAGAACAAGGTAGTAAATTTTTTAGGGTCTGCAGGCCAGCCAACTATTCAATTTTGTCCTTGTAGTCTTGAAATGGCCCTTGTTAATCCAACCAAAGAATATGACTGTGCTCCAACAAAATTTTATGAAGACAGACATTTGAATTTCATGCCACAAAATATTTTTATTTCTTGTCCCAACTATTTTAAATATTTTAAATAGTTGGGACAAGAAACAGTTCAAAGTATTCTAAGCCAACAGGCTAGTAGTCATTTGCCCACCTCTGTTCTAATGGAAGCCAGCTGTTGGAAGCAAGTCCACCTGCATTGTGGGCCCAGGTGGTATCCTGAAGACCTCCCGGTGCTCCCGCTCCCCTGTGATCAAAAGGACCACTTCCAGCTCAAAGCGGAATGCCCTGGGGCTGTTCCAGCAGGCGGCTTGCTGGGATCCCACACCCTGCCTCTGTGAAAAAGACTGTGGATCTCTGCTACTTCTTGGAGGCTCACTGAGGTGGGGTCTCTGTCCCTGTTGAGTGGATTTCTATTACCGCCAGGACTTTGCTGAGTTTTAAATGTTTGTTGGGCATCTTCTGTTCTCTCAGTGTTCCAGAATGGAAGCTGCTTCAGAGTTTTCGAACCTCCCTAATGAGGAAGTTCAATCTCCTTGTCTGGCCAGAGTCCAGCAGCCCTCTTCCCCAGCCAGCTAGAGGTGGGTGATCTCATTAGCCTTATTTGGTTTTACAGGTGCTGCACTGCGGCAAACAGAATGAGGCTGCTACAGCAGGAACTTTAGAAAAGATTATCAAAGGATAATGGAGGAGCAACGGGACTCTGTCTAAGTTACTACAAATGTATTTCTGGCCTCCCTAACCGTTAACTCCTCTTTAACCTACCATTCCTAGCAGGCAGGTCTTCCTTAATGCTCCTTCACCCCTACTTCCTTTGTTGGAGACTTGGAGATGTTTGTATGCACAATTCCTTTGCACCTTTCTTTCTGGTTCATGCAACAAGTACACATCAACAGTTAAGCACTAACCTTGCCATAGAGGAGGAAAGAATGTTTTGCAAGAACAAGCTGGAGCCTCAGTAATAAGGCACAGCCCTATTCCTGTCCCTTGTCCCAAGGAGTAAGACCCGTCTGCATAGTGGATGAGAAGGGATGAGCCCTTTGTCACGAACATTACCTCCTCCTAGGACCTTATCAGTAGGGTCCTAGCAGAGATTCATATGTGAAAGTTCAAGGAAGGTGCAACCTTTTGCACTTTTAGTCAGACTCTCTTAAAGTCATCATGAGAGAAAAATGCCCTCCAGTTGACCTAGAGCCTCTGGAGAGATCTAGAAGGGAGCCAGTCTCTTCTGAATCTTGAACCTTACTAGGAAGGCATTTCCAAGATGTTTGCACCCTTCCATAAATGTTTCTGTAGCTATTGAGATACTGTTTTACGTAGAGGTGAGGAAGAGCAGGAGTGGAGATAGAGCCGGATATCAGAGAGCTCTTCTCCCAGCACGTGCACGGGAGATGGATCAGCCCCCACTTCTCCTTTACCTCCTTGCTTGGTGCAGGCTCCCAGCAGATTAACCACATTCAGATGGTGTCCAATGTGGGTCAAGATCTTGAGCTCAGTCATCAGAGCTTTGTACTCACTGGCTGTAGCTCCCTCTGTGTGAGAAGCAAGGAAGAGTCAGGGTGACAGGACAATGGGCTCCTTCCACCAGAGGCAGCATTTCTGCCCTCCTTGTTTGTCAATGCTCCAGTGATTGTTTCATTCCCTTCCCAATATTCTACAGAAAAGGCCAAGTCTCCAGACTGTTTTCACTACTCCTACCCTCCTGAGCCAACATCCTTTTGATTACAGTGAGGCCCAGTGTGGTAACGGTGTTAGTCACTGAACATTTCCTCTTGTTGAACCTTGTTTTGTTTAGCAATGCGTTGACTCAGGGCTGGGTACCTAGCGACTGTGCCTCCTAAAGGGCTTCCCTTCCAGCAGAAACAGGTGCAGCAAGAACCCTCCACGCAGGGCACGAACCCACACTTCCCCTCTTTCTTTCTCCCTGGTTAGGGAGTCAGAGAAGGAGTACAAGGAACCTGCAAGCGCAGGATGGCTGCTTCTGTAAACATCTTTGCAATATGTTGTTTTCTCCCTTTACCCTTTCATTCCTGGTGTTCACAGGGTAATCTTGGGTTACGGAGCCACCTGACTTCAACTTCATTCACAGATATGCAACATCAGTCCAAGAATTAACAAAGTCTAAAGCCTAACTTGAATTTGTCCTGTTTGTTTTCATTGGTTCATTTCTAAGAAATTTTTTAAAAATTACATCTTTTTAGAAATATAAAAGTCAAGTAATGTTGCTGTAAAGTAGTCTAATGATATGAGTTGAAATAAAAAGTTATGTAGAGGGCAAGGGATAGCTTGCTGATAAAATGTGTTTTTAGTATACACAAGGTCCTGGGTTCTATGCCCAGCACTAAACCACAAACAAAACAAAAATCTTTTGGAGTGAAAGGATCTCAGTAAAAAGTATTAAATCATTCCATCCCACTTACCTTAGGAGTCCTAAAAGTGACCCCTGTTAATAGTTTGGGGCTCAGACCCTTTTTATGCCTTTGTAAATACCCAAAAATGTCATATTTTGAGGGTTTACGTGAATCAAATCATTTGTATGTATTTTTAAAATTTATCTTTTCCCGCTTTTTAATAAATCAAATTGTTTCTATTACTTTTAACTTTTTAATGGTGTTCCTGATATGTAGACTATATACAGTTTTTTGCTGTGACAAATAATGCTATAGTAAAGAGCCCATGTGTCATCTTGGTCCACATATGCAGGTATTTCTATAGGATCGGGTCCTGGGAGTGGGTTGAGTGTGTGTGCATTTAATTGTGTAGATATCAATCTGGCATTTCATAGGCACAAATCATTTTTTAATAATAACCAGATAAACTTCAGAAGCCTCCCAGTAGGGAAGGAGTTGGCTAACAGTAGATGCTCAACAGATATTTTTGGATAAATAAACAACATGGTTACACTTCTCGTTTCAGACATGGCTGTAAGGTCTAAAAACGTTAAGGTTTTTCTCAGAGGCACTTTGAAAGAGCTTTTGACTATGGCTTTTGTTTGACATTCTGCCTTTTCTGTTTCTCCCTAAAACAAATGGCCAATCAATTTAAGCAAGAATGATGAACAACAGTGATTTCTTAAGGAATTTTATAAGAGTGAGTGATTTGGCAATCTTTTTCAATCAATGCTGAGGGTTTAAAAATGTACTTATAAAGATATTACACACATGATTTCCACATGATTTCCATATTCTATAGAAGAGTCTCTGATCCTTTCAAAAAGATCTTTGTTCGCTTCAAACACCTCAGTCCCTCTGAGCATTTATGCCCCTTTAATGCAGAAAAAGCCAGGTGCTGTTGCTCTCATCACTTCCTTTCTAGGCAGGGCCACAGGTGTAATACATGGTACACAGAATAGTATGGGCATCAGCCTGGCTTCCTAGACATAAAGTGTGGTAGTAAGCAGGGAATTCGGGCCAGCTGATAAAGCAGATTTCCAGATTCCATTTCAGCTTAGTCTGGGAAGGATACTGAATTGTTTCCATGAAGCAGGCTAGGATCATTTTCAGGAGTGGGGACCAATGACCAATTCAAGGGGATGTGGTCTCTGCAGCCCCCCTTTTGTGCCACTGTGGGGTGAGGGAAAGAACAGTTCGCTCCAAGCTGGAAGATTCAGACACAGACCTTTGCTATTTGTGCACTGAGCAGCTGTGCAGCTTCACAGGCAGCTGAATCTCTCTAGGCCTCATCCAGGGATAATATCTACTTCACAAGGCTACTGAGAAAAATGTTTAAAAGGAGCCATTTTGTGTGGTCCGTCCTAATAGAGTGTCTGGTCTGGTTCTTTCTCAAATAAAAGATGTGTCGATACCACTTCTCTTTAGGACCTGGGGCTGGAGGATTGTGCTGGGATGCCCCTCTTCTGAAGAAAATGTCTGCCATCATCTGCACATCCACTCCCAACAAAAGTCCTAACTGGGGCTCCACAACCTCCCAGGCTGGTTTAGAGTAGCGCTGTCAGGTTCTTGGTCAAGTATTTTTGTTTTGGCACATAATAATGGTACACATTTTTGGGTACAATGTGATGATTTAACACATGGTATACAATGCATAATGATCCAATCAGGGTACTTAGCATTTCCATCTCCTTCAACATTTCTTTGTGTTTGGGAACCTTCAAACTCCTCTTTTTTTGTTTTTTGTAAAATACATGAAACACTATTATAAACTATAGTCATCCTACTGTCCTGTCTTAGTCTCGGTACTGTTGTTCAGCCCCCCTGATGAGGGCAGCCTTCTGAGGTGGAGTGCAGTCCTGAGTGGTGGGAGAGAGAAAGGCCTTAGAAGTGTCCTCACACACCGTCTCTCTCCTGATATCTGATTCCTTGGCCTCAAAATCCCCTGACAATATTCTAGGGACTTTGGAAAGCTACAAACTGTTCTTTTAAAAGTCTTGTTTCTTTCTGGTTTGGGAATTTTAAAGCAAACTGAGGTAACAAAACTCCATCACAAATGAGGAAATAAAGTATTTCTACACTTACTATTTTTTATGGTACCAGGGATTAAACCCAGGGCCTTTCCAGGCCCAACCCCTCTTTTTAAAACTTTGAGACAGAGTCTCTAAGTCACTAAGTTGCCTAGGCTGGGCTTAAACTTGTGATTTTCCTGACTAAACCTCCCAAAGTAATGAGATTATAGGCCTGTGCTACCATGAAAGTTATATTTCTACACTTTAAATATTATGAGATGTTCCGTTTATATGCTTTTCACTGAATTTCCTTTTCAATGTGTCTTAGGGTGGTAGTCATAAATCAGAGTGTGATTTGGCTCTCCCTTCCAGTGTTTTAGAGCTGGATCTTTTTTTTTTTTTTTGGTACCGGGGATTGAACTCAGGTCCTTGCGCTTGCGCAGCAGGCAGCGGAACCACTGAGCTAAATCCCCAGCTCAAGAGCTGTATCTTTTAATACTAGAAAGATACAATTCAATTTTTAATTTCTAAAAAGGAAATATATTATGGTTAGGGCTTGTCAGCATGAAACAGTTTAAATTTCTGACCAAGTAAGTTCTGTTTTTATGGTTTGGGCAAGCTCAAGCTAGACCTGTTGGTTTGTGATGTGCAGCTCTGTTTCCATTACACTGTTACAGGGATCAAGCCAGCATTCTGAACGTATGTTACAGTGGGTACAAGTCCCTGGTAGTCTCATCTGAGATGTGCGGAGAGAGAGACCAAATGGTGACAGAGATGATTTTTCCACGAAAAGTTCTGAGCTGTGTTCCATTAACAAGGTCGCTCTGAGCTAGTGTAGGCTCTATCTAAAAGTTCTGGAGCAGTGGGAGTTGCAGCAGTGAAGAGCAGTGACGTGGCCAGAACAGAAACAACTCGTGCTTATTCCTAGGCTGTATTTGACTTGCACCAACAATGAGGGACTGCATGAAGGGGACAGGTCAGCTGAAAGCCAAACTGGCATACAGACCTTTCAGCATTTTCACAGCCACAGTCCGGCAAGTGGGTGACTTCTTAATGCCAAATGCGGATGCTTGAACCACTTTTCCAAAAGCCCCTCTTCCCAGTGATTTGCCTGAAATGAAAAGAAGATATTGATTTGTTTGTCAAGCCCACGGGGTGAGTTTAAGTCTTTTTTCAGGAAGGAAATGCCTTTTCCTATGTGTTGTGTTAGGCATGTGGCTTTGAATGTGATCTCTGATTAACTGGCCCCAAAGGAGGCATAATAAGGGATACTTTTCTGGGGTCTCTTCCTCTCTTTCCTCCATTTCTGAGGCCCCCCACACCCTTCAGTAGGTCCCTAGAAGGTATTTTCCTTTGTATGGTGTTGTCCCAGAGGGGAGCCTGAGTGGTCTCTCCATCGTTCAATAACATCTCCACGTAGACCTCTCTGTTTGACCTAAATCCTTTCCTTGTCACTTAAGGTTATTTCTTCTATTCTGTCTTCAGCAAAAAGAGGGAAATCAAGAATGGTGGTTACTATACTGGGTTATAATGTTTTGTAACTTAAGAAACGCTAAGCCATTTTTCAGACTTCCTTGCCAGGCAGAATATTCTCTGGCAGGTATTCTATGATTATATGATCAGTAATGATCCTCATGGTTCAGTTCATGAGCCCATCAACCACTGGCAGTAATTTGTTTCAACCCTAGAGAGGTGGCTGCCAAATGCAATAACAAAGCAATATTTCTCTCACTGTACTCATATGTTATAATATAATGGCTGTTAGTATGTTTCTGTCTCCCCCACCTAGGATGAGCCAAGTTGACTCAGAGGGGTAAAGGTACTCTTAGAATCTTTCTCAGACCTTTCACAGTGCTTGATATAGAGAAGGCCTCTGTATAGTTAGTACAGAATAGAGAGCAGCATTTGGGGATTTACCGGATCCCAGAGAAACTCTCATACAGTCATAGGTAACTAGAGGGGCCTGGGAGTGTGTGGAATGGGGACAGGGGAATCACGTCCTTTGGGAAGGGCACCCCCTGAAATACCTCACCCCGGTTCATATAGGGGACTCTGTCTTGCACCATCAGGAAACTGAGAGCTGAATAGAACTAGGAGAAACAATCCATCTCCAGCAATCATGTGCTGAAAGAAGAGTGAGCCAAAGAAATCACTATTTTTTGGCACTTCTGGGGGAAAAATGTAAACAACAAAACACTGATGAAAAGTAAATCTTGATAGTTGGAATGTTAATTTGACACAAGACCTTCTTTTCCAATCAGGTTCTCGTTGTTAGACTGCTTTGATAAGGCGCCTTCGTTTAATGAACCTTTTCTTCCTCCCTTTCTCCCTCATACTCCAGTCCTTTCTCCCAAAGGAGGAATATATATATGTTATTTTAAAGTTTCTTCTTCAGTTTGTAATAAATCTTTCCTGCTTTCTTCTCATCTTAGAACCTTTATCTTTTTATGTACAACTACTCAGTAACAAAAATGTTTTCACTTTGCCTCTGCTTAGTATCTTTCCTTGCCCATTACTCCAGGCGCCTGTTAGGATATGGGAACATTTCAGGTACCAGCATAATCTGAGAGATTCTGTGGGGCTGTTTCTTCATCTGCCGCATAGGGACATTATTCTGCTTTAGGAGGGGGCAGTGGTGACATGACATGCTTTACCTCTGATAAAATGTGCGCCTGTGGGGACTACTAAACACCATTCCTCCCAGAGCATGGAACACGGGCACACAATCTGATTCCTTCTTCCGGCAAAATGGTCCAAGAAAGAGACTAGAATGGGAGCTCATAAGTTAGAAAGCATCCAGTGGTCCCCGAAGTGCACATGGAAATCACATGGGTGAAGGGCTCTGGCTGGTGGATAGCTTATCTAGATTGGTAAAAAGTGGTGCATTTTGGTTGGTTATTTAGTCCCTGCTTTATTTAGGGTAACAGCGATGTTTTCCTTCTGTACTGCATTCCCCCATCAATATGAAAATTGTGCTGAGCCTGAGAACCAGCAGGATCATCTTTCCACACAGTCCTAAGACTCTTACTTGTTCAGGGAACATGAAATCCTTTCCCTTTCCACCACTTCTGCCCTCACACATTCCCTTCCCAGCCGTCCCCACACACTTTGTTTTCACAAGTGTTCGGGGCTCTGCTTCTATCAGTGAGAATACACTGATTCACACTTGGCTTCTCTCTTTCTTTTCATTTATACCCTTGGAAGCTGACTACATGAAACAGCATGAAGCTATTATGGGCTCTTTAATCCTTCTGCAGACCCATGCTTCCAGTTTCAGAGAGCCCAGTTGCACTGGACTTCACCTCATCTTGTTCTTTCCCTTTGAAACTCTCCTTTGTGTTGCCTGGAATGCTGCTAAGTAGCCCAGAAATGGGTTAGGTCATTGTCATAGTCTGCCAGGATACCGGAATCTCCTCCAAGTATGTCCTGGACTAGCCAAGACCCCTGGCCACTTGGGAGTGTGCAGGGCAGCATGGACTGAGCCCTTCTCTAATATGTAGGCGGGGGGGGGGGTGTTCTCACTAGAAGCAACACCAGCCTAGCACCATGCACTTGCCAAATTTGAGACTCTCTGTGTGATTTCCCATGTTAGGTAATTCCACCTTTAAATGATTCTCCAGCAGAAAGATGCAATGTCAAACATTATCCTAACTTCTCTGGTAAATTTATATGAATGAATTCTCCCCCAGGGTTAGTGAGGAATCATGAAAAAAAGAGAAGGAGTTCTTTTGTTTCTGCGTTTCAGGAATTTCAGTGGTAGTAATAACCTCTGCCCCAAGACTCAACTGTATCCATCTATCAGCCGCTATAAATTCTGACTTCCTTCCCCGGGGGTGATAATAGTAACCAAGGGAGTAGATACAGAAATCACCCCTCTGCATTTCCAACCCCAGTGTAAGTCTGCCCATCAAACCATATTTTTCACCCCATCCATCTGGACAGAATCTTAGTTACTTTTATTTGCCCAGCATTACTTGAGGTTACTTTCTGACATTTGTTAGGCTTCTAAAACAAAGACGTCTTGGACCTCTTTGCTCCCACATTAATCAGAGCAGCCTTCCTCCAGGCCCTGAAGCCACACTGTGCATTGAAAAACAAAGTTAACAGACGTGACTCACTTTCTCTTACCCATCAAAGACACTCACCTGGAAACCAGCCAAATCAGAGCATGTGACAACTCCAGAAAAGAATCATAAAAAAGATCTTCAGGAGGGAGAACATCCTGAAATTGGATTGTGTGAACATTGTGGGCCCCGGGGGAATTCTGGTAGAGGGGTTGGCAATGTCCCTCAACATGCTGTGGATCACAGTAACACTAGGGAGGGATGAAGGGACAGGTGGGAAAGCTCACGTGTCCTGTCCTGGATGAAGCATGTTTGATTGTGATTAATAACTCTGGAAAGCAACATGGCCTGAGAATGGCTCATGATTGTTGGAAAATGATTCTGTGTTCCTTGCCAAGGTCACTGAGGGGCTCAGCTAGCTGCCCTGTAATTTCGATTTGCCGAAGGAACTCATCCAGCATGCCACCTGCCCTTAACTTCTCTGAATTTAGTTGATCTTCTTCCCTGTCAGCAGCCATTGCTGGCTTTCTCCTGTCTCTCCAGCTTTAAAGTCACTCCCTAGGTTTTTCTTCAAGTCAAACAGAGCCTGCCGCTGGTGTTGTCCTTTCTCAATGTAAGCAGAAGCATTTTAAGATCCAAGAGGAAAACAAGGAAAGCCATTTTTCCTTCTCTCCCCTCACACCACCCCTTGCAGCATAGTTTGCATGTGGGGAGAGAGGTCAAGCCATTGGATCCGGAACAGCAAGTTCTCCACCGAGAGTGACAAGCTCCAGGAACACTGGACCCTCTATCTGTTTTTCTAGTTCCAACCACTAATGATTCTGGCATACATGGGAGTGAGTGGAAAACTTTCAGAAGCCACAATCCAAACATTTTGGATAGGAGTAATTGAGGTTGCCATTGTTTTGTAGCACCATGGGCTGGAGATTAATGTGCATTGTGACGTCTGAACTGGGGGTAAGCTGAGGGAAAGCACATTCGCTGCTTGTTTATATTGTCTGCTCCACCTGGAAAACAATTCTCTGTTCTTCAAAAGTGAAACTTAAATGATCTTCCTAGGGCTTTCGTCTCTGTTTGGACATTCCCAACACCCCAGGAAACTCAGAGGATGTGATTTGTGGATGTGTACAGAGGAGTTTTTCGCTCACAGCCTTGAAGAGTACCAACTCTGTTAGCAAATGTTTGATTTCTGTGCTCTTCACCGTCCTGATTTAGGTTCTGGGTGCCACAAGTTTGACTGCTCAATAGTTTCATTATGGAAGAATGCCTGCCTCCTACGGGGCCTACTCTCCTCCTTCCTCTTCACTTATCTTTTTAGCTATCTCCAGACTAGCCTCTGGGGGAAGAGACCTTTGTATCCCCAGGGCTTAGACCACTGTATGCCGCTCAGATCTATGCTTAATAACTGTTGAATGAACACCCAAGTGCTCCCTTGTTGCCTTGTCCTGTTTTTTCAGCATCCCATTAGAATTCTTTACCTCTGTGGCCCCCTTATCTCCCTTGCTAGTTTGTGGACAGCTGTTGGTAGAATCCCAGGTCAGTTGGCATTTGCATCCTTCAAAGCATAGTGTTTTGCATGCAGTGGGTATCAGACAGGTTCACGAGTCTTTTGAACAGATACATTACCCAGTTTGAGTCTCTCCCGAGCAAACTCCCATTTGCTGGCATCATAGGGGAGCCTCTCACACTGCTCATCAAGGGGAACTTCATCAGGGTCCATTATAATCGATAGGTAATCAGTCTTTATTTCTGAAGAAGACTGAGAAAGAGACTTCAAAGTCACCGATAAGAATATAGCTTTAAAAATCCTAGTTTTTCAATTTAAAACAATGCTTGGCAACATCTGCTGTTTCGGGTCATTTGGTAGGAACTGTGGGGTCAGGTGAAAGGAGAGTATATACATATATATATCCACAAATGCACCCATACACTCACACTCCCTCCCTTGGGTGTGCAGTTTCCCTGAGACGACTTACTCTTCCCACACGCCATTTCTGCAGTACAAGTTCAGCCATTCAACCTTGATAAAATGCACTTAGATTCCCCAGTGGCTTTATATGTTATGCTTTTTCTGAAACAATTACGTAATATTTTTTTTCTAAAAATTGCAAAGCATTTTTAGAAAACAATTTCAAATAGTGACTAAAAATAGCTTTCTGTAGCCATTCTGTACAAGCAGTAATATGCAGATGAGCTGGCAATGGGTCACATAGTGGCTTTTCTATATTTTCAAGAAAGGCCAGAAGTAGCAAAGCAAAGCCAGGATCCCTGGGGCAATGAAAGCACATTTTTTGCTGCTGTTTTGTGGTACTGGAGATTGAACCCAGGGCTTTTGCACTGAACTATATTCCAAGCCCTTTTTCTTTTTTGAGACAAGGTCTTCCTAAGTTGCCCAGAGGGTACTTGAACTGCTGATCCTCCTGCCTTGGCCTCCTAGAGTGCTGGAATCATAGGTGTGTGCCACCATGCTACCTGGCTTACCTTCATTAAGAAATAGAAGTTAATTATTTTAAAGTCCAAGGAGTAAATATAAGATTTATACACTACCACGTTCTTGAGTTCATTTGGCCATTGGGAGGATGTCAAATGAATAAGACAAACATCTCCCTTGAAGTGCTCGTGTTCTTGGTAATATAAATCAAACCTAGGAAGTTACCTCCATGTCAGGTTATAGATAACTGGATTTACATTTAATGTTAGATCCACATCAATTCATATATTCCCCATTAATGGGCAGGTTTCTAAAGCTGATGAGTACATTTCTGTGGGCCAACTCTTGGATAGGATGGAAAGGAAGCATGCTTTCCCATCTAACTCTTGCCTCGAAGTTATGTGAACTTCATTTCAGTGAGAGTTGAGGCCCTCCTTCCTGGGATTTTGCCTAACCTTGATCAGAGCTGAAGTAGTGAAGACAGCCTTTCTGTACATACCATTTCACACCCACCACATTCTTCTGCCCTTACTCACCCTGTTCTGAGCTATCATGGCTCACCTCATCCATCACTTAAAATTGTTCTTCTTCTACAAAAATTATCAGTAAAATGTGTGACAAACAGTTCAAGGCAGAAAGGTTTGTCTAGTCTTCACAAAGGGTGGAGATAAAAAATACTGAGCATGTTTGTTACTAACTGCCCTTGCTATTGGTATGAGCCTATAAGGGTCCACCAGTCTATATGCTTGTAGGAGACTATTAATTCATATATAAAGTGCTGGGTGTTCATGAAAGAAACTTGGGGTAGGTTTGACGACTAATCTTTTCAATGTCCAGTATAGACAAGGCTACGAGAAACAGTCTCCAATCACCAAAGAGCACAGGATAGCTGAATCCTAGTGTGATGGTTGATTGATCGTGTCAACTTGAGTAAGACAAGCACAGCTAAATTGACTCAGCAATTCCACTCCCTAGGGTGTGGAGGACCCACCCTAGGATGGCTTGTCCACTGGATAGTATAAAAGGGAAATGGAGAAGGACAGACCTGCTTCTGTTTCTTGGGAGGAGCTTCAGGCTTTGCCTTCATCTTGGACGTCATCTTCTGGCCTGCCGTGCAGATTCTTCAGCTTCCAGCACAGACACTCAGCCTTCCGGCTTAGACTCTTCAGCCTTCCATTGCACCAGGACACTGGAGTGAGCTCCAAACCTTCAGCTGAATCCTTCAGCTCTGCAGTGTTCAGACAGACCCTCTGTACTCTTCTTCCTTTGACTCTGGGTGGCCATTGTAAGCCAGTCTTGTAAATTCTTATATATTTGTATACCTTGTATTATATCTGTTTCTCTGGAAAATGCTGACCAATATACCTAGCAAGGGATGTCTCAGGTTTAGGCAGCATGTGTAGGGAGGTTGGCAGTAATGCAGATAGGGTCAGAGGAATGGGCAGTAGGAGACGGGCTTCCCATGTGGCACCTATGGAATGTTACAGTCTAATCTCAATAAGACAGATGGGGAAATGTCACACAGACTGTAAGCACAGACTGTGAGGGGAGCATGACAGTAGAATGTTGGTTGACAAATACTTAGTCTTTGAATTGACATCAGTATTGAGCAGCTACCCTGTGCTTGAGATGGAGGCTAACACCCAGATCTGAGTCACAGCTTAACCTCTGACCAGCCCTAATCTCGGGCAAGTTGCTTCATCTCTCTAAGTCTAGTTCCCTTATCTGTAAAATAGTGATAATAATTGTACTTATCTCAGGGTTGTGGCAAAAAGAAAATGAAATAATCCATGTAAACCTATTAAAACAGGACTTTGTTGTGTCAATGAATGTCAGCTATAATTATGAAACTGATGTAAGCAGGGCAGTGATAAAAAAAGATAAAAATGAATCTTTATCAATGAATTTACATTGTGATTAGAGAAACCATGCAGATATATATGTCTGTATCTTCATTTATTTTGGTACTAGGGATGGAAGCCAAGGCCCTCTGAACCACAGGCAATAGCAGCCTCCCCCACTGAACCACGTGCCCAGCCCCTCACATGGCAATATTCTTTGATGCCTTATTCCTTTTTGCCTCCCATGATCAAATTAAAAACTAACTGATAGTATATGCTTGTGCTATATCATACTGTATCTCTATCTATATTCATCATGGGGAACTGAAATGTACACTTATTCCATGATCAAATTTTATTCTTTTTTCACTTACTTTAAAATTTTTAAGACAGGGTCTCACTGTCTAGCCCAGGCTGGTCTTGAATTCATTTATTTTGTAATTTTTAAAAAATTTTAATTTTATTTTATCCCATTCTCCCCTCCCCTCCCTATGTACAAGTGCTTTGTTTCCATTTTTTCCTTATATTTTCCCCTTTTCTTCTTGTCCCTTCCTTTTCTCCCTTCTTCCTCCTTTGCTACCCTTCCCATTGGAACAGTTTTTTTCCTCTTTCCCTATATCTATTATAGATTTTAGTCCTTATTTCCACTTTCAGTTTCTCACACCAGAGAAACAGTGCTGTATTTAAACATGTGTGTCCAATTTAGTTTACTTAAGAGTCCATCCATTTAGCTATAAATCTCTGAAGCTCATCCTTCTTCATGGCAGAGTAGTACTGCACTGTATAAAAAACCTCACATCTTCCTTATCCATTCATCAATTGATGGGCATTTGGGCTGTTTCTAAAATTTAGTAATTACAAACTGTGCCGCTATAAACATGGGTGCACATATATCACTGTGGAGGAATGCTTTTCAGTCCTTTGGGAAGATATGAAGAAAAGGAATAGAGTACCTGGGTCAAATGGAATCTCTAGTTTTAGTTTTTCAAGGAATCTCCACACTGATTTCCACAGTGGTTGCATCAGTCTACACTCTCATCAACAGTGGAGAAGGGTTCCTTTTTTTCCCACATCCCTGCCAGCATTTGTTATTGATTGATTCCTTGATAGCAGCCATTCTTACTGGAGTTAGATGGAATCTCAGTGTTCTTTTAATTTGCATCTCATGAATGACCAGTGATGTTGAACATTTTTTCATATATTTATTTGCCATTTGTACTTCTTCATCTGAGAAATGTCTTTGCATGTCAGATGCCTATTTTTTTAATTGGATCTTTAAATTGGGGGGGGGTCCTGATTTTTTTTGAGTTCTTTGTGTATTCTAGATAGTAGACCTTTATCTGATGAATAGCTGGTAAAATTTTTTTCCCATTCTGTGGGTTGCCTTTTCACTCTGTTGGTGATCTCCTTGCTGTGCAAAAGCTTCTTAATAAGATGAAATCCCAGTTGTTGATTCTTTCTAGTATTCCCCATGTGGTTGGGTTTCATTCACGAAGTCTTTGCCTGCTCCTATGTCCTCAAGTGTTCTACCTATTCTCCAGTAGCTTTAGGGTTTCCGTTTTAATATTTAGATCTTTGATCCATTTTGATTTTAGGTTGGTGCACGGTGAAAGATATGTGTCTAGTTTTGGGTTTTTTTGCTTGTTTTTATTCATTTATTTATGTGTCTAGTTTTAATCTTTGGCATGTGGAAAGCCAGTTTTTCCAGGACCATTTATTAAAGAGCTGGCCTTGAATTTATCACCCTACTTCCTCAGCTTCCCAAGTGCTGGGGTTACATTCATTACTACCATGCCTGGCAAAGCTTTCTGTTTTTGAGATAATAATCTTATTCCTATCATCAGCATTTCATAGAGTTTTAGAAATAGAAGGGACTTTTATCAGTTTGGTCTCAACTTACCTTTGCAGTCTGATTTCTACTGTGCACCTACATGCTGAGTAACTAGACTGTTTCCCTAGTCTGAGGTGTAAGAAGAGGCAGGGCCAACTCTTTTTTTCTGCTGCTTTTCTTACAGCCTTCAAAGTCTGTCTCCAACATTACTTTCTCTGGAGTCTTTTCTCCCCTCTTCTCCTTGGAACCTCTATAGCTTTATTTCTCTCATAGATATGGCAAGTTCTGCTTTTGTTAGATTTATATCTCTAGATAGCATATTTTCTCCTTTAAAACTATCATGGGCCATGTTTCCTTGTACAGCAGTGGCCTTAATGGTCATGCCTCAAAATCAGTCACTCCATGGGCACAAGGTGGGTGTCACATACACATCATGAGGGCTAGCTGCTAGCCTTGCCTCTCACAGCAGTGCTGTCATGTGTGATTTACTGGTTTTGAGTATCAAGTGTGTGAGATCGAACAGCCCGTGTTCAAAACTGAGCCCCAATTATGATGACTTGAGCCAGTTAGTCTGCTCTCTGAGCCTCTGTTTCTCTCCGCATAGAATGGAAAGAATGGTATACCTACCTCTTTGCATTTTGGGAAGGATTAACTGACACGCTCCATAAAGGCTTCCTGTAAGATCTGGCACATTAATAAGGGCTAATTGCTAGAAATTGTGAGATTTCCTGACCCTTCTCAAGTCCTGCTGTTTCTTATATCCCTTATATATCTCTCAACTCTAGTCATTTAGTCAGTTCTAGAGTCACTTTTTTTTTTCCATTAAGTTTATTGGTACATTTTAGATATGTAATACAGTTCCATTCACCATTGCGATCTTGTACCTTTACATGATGCATCTTGGTTCTTATTTTTTCCCCCTTCCCCTGCCCTCCCTTCACCCCCTCCACTCTTCCCTATTTACAAAGACTTTGTTTCCATTTTTTTCTTTTCTCATATTTTTTCCTTTCCCTTCTTTCCTTTCCCCTGCCCCTCCCACTTCCCTACTCCTTTAGACCTTTTCTTCCTATTTCATGATGTCAATTATACATTTTGATCCTTATTTACACTTTTAGTTTCTCACACCAGAGAAACTATTCGGTATTTACACGTGTGTCCTACTTATTTCACTTAAGAGTATGGCCTCAATGTGCATCCACTTAGCTGCAATTGTCTCTAGTTTCTCGTTCTTTATGGCTGAGTAGTACTCCATTTTATAAAAACCCCGCATCTTCTTTGTCCAGTCTCCAGTTGATGGGCGCTTGGGCTGCTTCCGAGCTTTCGCTGTCACCAGCTGTGCCGCTAGCATCACTCCTGCCCTGACCATTACAGCCTGGTGGGGTGGGGCTCTCTGCTCACTTTTGGCCCCTCCTGGTTCACTCTCACAGCAGCCAAAATAAGCTTTCCAGACACAGATCTGCCACCCATCTGCAACATTTGCTTAACATCACTGTCATCCCCGAGGGTTGCTGTGGCTCTTACAATACAGACTCAGCTCCTTCCGGTAGCCTACAAGGCCCTGCCTGGCCAGGCTTTGCAGCCCTGTCCTGGCCTTTCCTGAGTAGTGTAACCTCCTAGCTGTTGCCCTTTTTGTCCCCACTGCAGCCCTGTTGGGCTTCTGTCAGTCTCGCCTGCTCACTGTATTCCCCGCCTACCCCAGCCTCAGATATGCTACTCCCTCTGCCGTCTACATGTTTCCCCTTTCTTTGCCTGATCACTCTGTTCCATTTCTATTGGTCAGAGAACTCTTTCAGCTGACACAGAGTTGCAGTGCGACATCTGACTGTGGTTGATGCAAGTCAGTCTCCTCCCAGACTGTACACTTGGCATGTGCACTCCACATTGAGAAAGCTCACAGTGAGGTTCTGAGGCATGAGTGAGTGAATGAATGTTAGCTTCTTCACGAAGATTGCATCATAGCCTGGGTATAGAACCCTTGTTCTGAGTTCCAACCTGGACCTCACACTGCTTATTACACACTAGGACCACCGTGACCCAGATAGTGTGGAACAGCAGGGTCTTTATTTGTGTCCCTGTAATGTTACAAGAGTCCAAGAAGAGGTAGGTGGCTCTATATTTTGCTGTTTTTTATTTCGTAGCAGAGAGTGAGGTTAAGACAATGAAGACTTCACAGAACTCATGCTAAGTTTAATTTAAAGAGTCTTTTTTTTTTTTTTTTGGTACCAGGGATCGAACTCAGGACCTTTCGCTTTCGAGGCAGGTGGCAGAATAATTTAAAGGTTCTTACAAGGCTTGCAGTGTAGCTCAGTGGTAGAGTACCTCGTCAATAGGCACAAGGCCTGTGTTTGATCGCTCCCACAAAAAAAGAGACTATTATATAGTTTTTAGATCAAAACCAACATTTCTCTGCCTCTGAGAAATAGCCATCTGTTCATTGTTCTAGTTTTTCTTTTGAACACTTCAATTGTACTTAGAGACATTTTAATGATCTTGTTTTCAGTGTTCTCTGGGTCAGAGATATGGATGAGAGAGAAGAAACAGAAATTCCTGTTTGTTTAGTGCTTGCTCTAAACAGCAGATTGGGAGCTTTTGAGTATTATGTAAAAAGGAGCAGAGAATTTCATCTGACAAAGTCTTACCCTTTTCAGTTTTCGGATAAAGAGAGTTAACAGGAGCCAGAAGAGGGTCGCGGCCACACAGGTGCAGGTCAGAGTGATCAGCTCCAGATTAGACTTGTCTGAGGTTCCTGAAGAGAGAAAATCACCAAGATGCTGCTTAGAAGAGACACTGAAATTCAGGGTGTTTCTGGTTTCCAGAGGCCCGAGCCATCTGCTAGCACAAACTGAGCCTCTGAGACGACTCTCACCTTCTGAGTCAGACAGCACACACAGTACTACCATAAGCTCACACATGAAAGGCTTTCCAGAAATTCTGCTTTTGAGTTTGCAAACTTTGTAATCCCAGAAATAGCTAATTAAAAATCAGAGGAGGAATTAAAAATTGGAGAAAAAAAGAAGGCAGGAACAAAAGTCCATTAAAGGGCTAAATCTGGAATATGTTAAATCTCCCTAATGGGTTTTAGAGGAAATTCTAAAGAAAAAGAAAAAAAATGACATAAAAGAGCTCCTTTGGGACTCACAAAATTCTTCAAAGCAGATTTGAAAAATAAAAATAAAACTCAAGGACTGTCACAGTCCTTGCTCTTTTTGAAATAGCCACTCCAAACTGCCCAGTCCTGTTCCTGCATCACGGCCTCTGTTTCTAACCTCTACAGCAGCCAGAGTGTCGGCTGCGATGAGAAAACATGACTGCTGGCCTGGATCCTCCCATTCACCTCATTTCCCAGGATGACAGATCAAAAGCTGAGCATGGTTCCCTCTAGCCCCAGTCCCACCCCCAAAAGACCCAGAGTTCTCAAGCAGTACCTCCAGAGAGGAATTTGAAAAGGAACGCCTCAGAGGGCCAGAGCAGTGGTTCCCTGTGTATTGATTCCAATGTATAATTTCCCAGGAATTCTACAGTCATGCCCTTAGTCCTTGAACTTCACTAAAACAAGGCAGGTTTATAGTAACGTAGGCCAATAACAACAGAACCTTTGTCTTAGATTCTTTTTTTTTTTTTTGATACCAGGGATCGAACTCAGGACCTTGCACTTGCGAGGCAGACGGTGGAACCACTGAGCTAAATCCCTGGCCCAACCTTTGTCTTAGAAATGATGATGTGGATGACACCATTTATGAAATATTTATTATGTACCATTCACAACCACCCTATGAAGTGGATGGCGGTAATATCTCAGTTTCATAAATGCTTCATCTTCTGGGCTCTGTTTCCATTCAGCAATGATGTGTTGAGTCTGCTACAGTAAAGGGTAGATGCTGGAGGAGGCAGGAAGATGAGTAAGGGAGAGTTGCTACTTTCAAGAAGTCCATTCATACCTAACCAAGAGACTTCAGGCAAACACAAAGCAATTAGAATTAAATAGCACTTCAGAGGTTGAGGTGTCTAGTATTTTTTGGAAGAGGTGGCATTTGAAATGGATTTTGATCTGCACAGACGAAGGCAGTGAGGTTAGTACTGATAGCGGGAATAGTGTGAGGAAAATACGTGACTGGGAAATAATGGCACTGAGGGCAGTATGACGTTAGCTAGGGTACAGAAACAGAGCACAGGATTTGGAGCCACTGCCTGGTGCTTTGAAATACATGTTGCAGGCAGTTGGAGCCCCACCCTGAATCATAGCAAATGTACATGCTGGGAACCTGCAGATTACAAGATAGTGGTATTTACTGAGTGCTTGCTTTTCTGTGGACTCTTCTGAAGACTCACATGTATTCATTTACCAGGACTCACAACAACCCTGTGAGCGAGATGATTCCTATTTTATGAATGAGGAAAACTTAGACACAGAGAGACAAAGCCTCTTGCCCCAAGTCATGCAGTCTTCAAGTGCGGGGCGGGGCGGGGGCGGGGCGGTTGGAGGGGGATGCTGCCTGCCTAACTACCAGGCTTCCAAGAGTATGTCACTCCTTCTTCCTTACCTTCTCAGCCCTTAAAATGCTTATCCATCACCTCCCATAGGCCACATTCCCAGCCACAAAGTGTCTTGTGTGGAGAGGAAACTGACCTCTTCTTTCTATCCAGTCCTTCACAGAATCCTGTTCTTTCTACTTCCACAGCTCATGAAATTGTCACCTCTCCTAACCCACGGTCACTGCCTAAAGTAAAGCCTCGTCAGTTCTCACCAAGACTGCTGCAGTAGCCTACGTGGGCCTCAACTCCCTCCTGTCACTTCCACCTCGGCAGGCCTATCTCAGTTCTACCACCTCAGTTTCAGCATTTGCTCTCCACCACCATCAGATAAAAATCTAGGTTCCAGGCTAGGGGTGCAGCTCAGTGGTAGAGTGTGTGCTTAACGTGCTTGAGGCCCTTAGTTCCATCCCTAGTACCACAGTAAAAAACAAAATCATTACGTTGTTTATGGTCCACCTTGTCTATCTTTTAAGTTTTGCTACAGTCAGCATCAGAATACTTATTATTTCTTAAATTCACCAGCCCTTCTGCACATTCATGGTTTGGCTTTTGCTGTCTCTCTACCAGAATGTGAGCTTCCTGGCAGCTGAGGCAGCATCTTACTTATCTTATTCATGCCACTCCTTAGGTTGGGTGAATGAATGGATATATCCTCTCTACCTGTCTCCAGAAAGTTTCATGAGGCTTTCAAGGAAGTCAGGGGCAAATCTCTCTTCCTGTGGATTGATTCAGTGAACATGGACCACCACCTAGGTCCCAGATATGTTCTAGGGGCTAGCATACAATGGTAAGAGGTAGGGCCTGGCTGGTGTTCAAAGCCTGATATCCAGATCTGAACCGATGAATGTGTTTAACATTTTGAGTGAAACAGCAGAATATGGGATTGTGGTACCGTGTGCACAGCCACATTCCCAGCATCCAGGAGTGCCTGGCACATAAGAGACAGCCTGATAATCAAGTGAATTAATGAATCTGGCTTCATTGTGTCCTTTGTCAGCTTACAGTTAAATTGCCCTGAACTTCATGGGCTTGAAAACAACTTCCTTAAAGAAGTTTCAAAGTATGATAACCTTTTCACTCACTGTGTATCCTTACAATGGAAATATTGTAAGCTCAAGTTCATATGAATGTGAATTTCTTCTCCTACAATGTGAGGTTGAATTCTGCCTTGTTGCACACACACACACACACACACACACACACACATCCTTGCTTATGCTAAAGTTCTGTGGAATTTGGTGGGCCTGCTGAAAGCAGGGCACAGTGGCCTTTGGCTGTCAGAGACACTGATAATATTTTGAGACATGGCACTATCTATATAGAACCTCTGCAGATGCTTCTAGCACGGAATGTGCTGCAAGAGGCCCCCTCTGATTGTGGGAACTTTCTCACTACATTCCACGGGGCAGGAAGCTGACCCCCCAAGCCTTAATTCCATAGTCCTTACTTAAGCGAAATTCCTTTCAATGGGACAGTGTTTGTATGTGAACACACATTTAACACATTAAAAACATCTCCAGGATGAACATTTATTAGGCAGGAAAGACCCATTTAATATCAATAATATAAAAAATTAGAATTTTGCAGTGCATGATGCAGTATCCATGTTCAATCTCACTTGATACCTCTGTCTGTTTTTGAAAAATAACTGTCAGGATAATCTTATGATGGATAGACTGATTTGAGCAAGTTCTTAGGTGTTTTCTCAATGGTTGAATGTCCACTGGTCTGACCAGATCCAACTTTAACTCACAGGTGATAGCTGACGGGCTCAGTATATGAAATAGCCCAGCTGCACTTGGCAGAACATGGAGGCTAGGGAAAATTTAAAATAATTAAGAGCTAGCAGAGGGTGTCAGGGACAATCACTTCCATATGATGTATGTGAAAGGCTAGCATCAGGACATGGTACAAGCTTGTTTTCATTTGGTATACTGACAAAATGAGGCCAATTAGAAAAGCATATGATAACCGTGTTTTAATTTTTTATGTTTTGGTACTACGGATTTAACAGAGGACGTCATCTATGTTAGGCATGCACTCTACCACTGAGCTACATCTCCAGTGGGACTTTTTTGTTTGTTTGTTTGTTTGTTTGCTTGTTTTAAAATTTGGATGGTGTCCTCCTAAATTGTGATCCTCCCAAGTACCAGGGATTACAGGAATGTGCCACCATACCTAGCTAATTGTGCGTTTTATTAGAATGCTGACCCTGCTGGACAGAGCAGCCCTTGCCAGTTACCCTCCCTGTTTTCACACCATCCTTCCTGGGAGAACAAGGGCAGGTGACATAGCAGGTGGGCTGAGTTCTGAAGGCCGGTGTGACTTGTCAAGAGTCAGTGCAGTTGGCAGTATCCTGAGTCTTCCTCATAATGAAGGTGGCTCTTTGTGCACATAGCCTGTACTGTATGGTCTGGTAGCAGCACACCAGCCCCAGCATGTGGCTCTGTGTGGCACCAGACTGCTGGAATTGCAGCAGCAGAGCCATTCAACTTGCCTTACGAACTATTACCAGAAATCAAACACCAGGGCACATTGGCCTCAGGTCCTGGCTAGACTTAGGGACCAAGCATAGATTTCATCAGGAGCAGGCAAGGAGCCATTTTGCAACCCTATGAGCAGCTCTGCTATAGACCAAGGACTCTACCTGTTTCCTCATCCTTAAAAAATGGAGGTTTATTAGCAGTCCCTACTTCACAGGTCAAATGTGTAAACCTGGCATTAGTAACTATTTTGAAGGCTTCTCCCCACTCTTGTCACCTCTTTCTATTTTTTATTGCTTTTTGGACTTCAAGTGTGGGGTAGTTTTTGTTTTCAGCCAAATATACTACATGTATCACAATTTGTCTTTTCTACCTAAAATGAACCAGACTTGACGCAGGTAGCCATCATTTTCTACAGACAACTGAAATACCACCTTCCCTGAGAAATTTGCCTAGTGCCACAGGGTAGTTTAAATTTTATTCTCTGGTTCATTTGTTATTTCAGTTTGAAGTAATTAATGAGATGGCTCTGTGGCCCACTAAATTATTAGGACCTCAAGAGAAGGGTGTACTTCTTGTTCATTTTGTATTTCCACCACTGACCCAGAGGAAGTCTCCAGAAAGTTTTATGTATGGATGAAAAGAAAATTAATCAGCTCCACTCAGACCTAACTCTCAGGGATCCTGATCACCATGAGTCAACCAACCAGTGCCAGCTCCTTCAATCTAA